TGTCTGTGCTATTTAGCGTGTTATATTGCTATATATAGATATATAAATCGTGAGAATGACCCATAACCGCCTGAGTTGGTATTACAAACGTCTAGTTCACTTGTCCTCATACTCCTGTAAATAATGTCTTGTAGTTTTCATTTTCATCATGTATGCTAATCTATAAGTGCATTACAGACGAGCCGGACAGGGCCGGTCCATTTAAACATCATTAGTGTGATGGAGTGTGTTCATGTGACCTTGCTCAACATCACAATTCATCTGTAAAATTATGCCTATTAACTTCTTTTTACAGTGAACTGACACTTTATATGAGCCAGATAGTCAAGCACAGAGCATGTTCTGCTTGATTCTGTGAGCTTTTGTTTTTTCATAGTAAAATAAAACCTGAATTTGCCTTTTTGTGAAATAATTTTGTCAGACAAATACATGAACCAAGTTTATAGTGTATAAATACTCAGATAAAAATATTATATATATTTAGCAAAGTATTTTTGTAAGTTGCTGTAGTTTTGTAAAATTATGCTACAGTGAACTCACTTTAGATATATTGAAAGACAGATAGTCAAGCACAGAATATGTTCAACATCATCTATTATAATATAACTATAAAAAATTTAAAGTAGCAAATGTGAAATTGGCTCAGGATTCCTTTAGTAACTAAACCAGGATCAACGTCAAACACACCGTATAATGGGTCGGTCGGGCGTGGTTAACAGGCCAGATCGATTCACATCGCATGTGTGTGTGTGTGTGTGTGTGTGAGTGCCGGAGGCGACAGAACCACAACAGTAGCGTGTCAGTCCTCGTGTGTGTGTGAGTTAGTGGGTCAACACGTTCCTCTCTCTCTCGGTCTGGAGCTTCACACACAACTGGGATGTTCAGACAAACATGTGCATCTTTACTTCTAGAAGTTTCACATTAATTCAGATCTGATCAATTCTATTTTGTGTGCAATTGGCCATGCATCAAATGGACAGCGTGTCATTCTTAACTACAAATTGTTTGTAACACTTTACAATAAGTTTCATTATTAGACAACATTAGTTAATGTGTTTATGAACTAACATGAGCAACACGTCTTACTGTATTTGATAATCTTTAATGAACAAATAAAGCGGTTCGTTGTTTGTTCATGTTAGGTCACAGAGCATTAACTAATGTAAACAAGATTTTAATAGGCTAACTGTTGACATTTACATGAACAAAGATTAATAAATGCTGTTTATGGTAATGTATTAACCACATTGCAAAGTCAGTGTTACCGAATTGTTTTAGTTAATTGAAATACAGCTTAAAATATGAGATCAACTTAAATATGTTGCATTGGCGACCAAACTGAAATACTGAATACTGAAAATATAAAACCGAAAGCTAATTCACGCCATTAAATTGGCCCTTTTATGCTATTTTAAAGGTTCTTAATGTTGTTTGGGAGTCTCATAATAGATTTACATGCATTCAAGGTTAGAAACACTTACATTTGATTAATATTCATTCATCTTCGCAGAGTCTGAACGCCGTCTCTAAGCCCCGCCTCTCCGGGAGCTGCTCTGCTCTGATTGGTCAGACGGCCCAGTCGACTGCTCACAGTGCATGTCGAAACTAAACGCTCATTAGCATATCCGAACATCAGCTCTTTCTCAGCGTTTGATACGAACAGTAACGATGGCGTCGGTTTTACCGCATTATTTCGAGAGCTCGTCTTTTTGAAGTGGATTTGCAGCGTCTTCTCGACATGAACGACACAAACCAACATCCAGTCTCAGATACAACTAGTGTTTGTGGGCGGGGCAAAGAGACGCTGTTCGCCGGCAGCCAATGAACACCACAGACTGGCATTATTAGTTATTTTGTTTTTCAAAGTCACTGACGACTGATTTCTTGAAGTTAGAGCAAATTCTTTTTGGTAACGAAAACCTTCCGAAGGAACTTACAATATCATAACAATTGTGGGTAAATACCATATTCATAAATGTAAATGGCAAAATAAAAATCCATCCATAATAGTGTTTAAAATTGAACTGAAGGAATACTTTGCTTCTTTGAAACTTCTGAAAGACTCCAGTGATAACATTTACTCTATGTGAAGATGTCTCAAAATATTTGTCATTATAATTTGTAAAGCTTCCATGTAACTTTATTTTATGATTATATGAAGACTGAGGACAATATATATATATATATATATATATACATATGTGTGTGTGTGTGTGTGAATAACTTTGACATGCCTTATGAACTGAAATGAAATTTTGTTTTATATTTATTTGTATTTTTTTTGTTTATTGAATTTTGTTCAATTTAACTGTTTATGTTATGCACACGAGTCTCCCAACGAGAGATTTTGTAAATTGTTTTTTTGTAAATAAGTGTGTTTAATTATAATAATAATAAAAAAAAGATGGATCTACAGAACATGTGTGCAAAGACTTGCAAAAAAAAAAAACCACGACTGATTTCTGCAGTTCAGAATCGATTCTATCTTTTTGGAGACTGTAACTTGATTTGATCTTTAAAACTTTGCAAACCTTTAACATTCACAATCACTCCATTACACACTGCATGAAAGGTAGGCCTAATATACGAGAGAGCAGAAATAATCATTTTTATTATTAATTAATAAATAATATAAACAGTCCGGGCCTGAGGTCGAGCAGGTGTTTGTCAGACTCAGGACAGCACCTGTGCACACCATGTTTTGAATGCCTCAACACAATGACATTCACACTGACCACAGGGTAAACATTATCTGAACCTGTGCTCTCGGAGAATGACTCAACGAGGATGAGGACGAAACAAACCTGCGCCCATTTACACACACAACCTGTTTCTATTCACATCTACATCAAATCTGAACCATCGTATGCCTCTCTCTGTCAACAATTACATTTCGGTTCAAAAGCTCTCCATTTGATTCAGTTCTGATTCGTTTTCTTGAACGTAACTATTACATCTTTACATAAATATTAACACATCAAATTGTTTTTAAGAAAATAGTCCATCGCGTAAAAATAATAATATCTTGCGATTTCAGTGACGGATTCGTTAGACTGATTCATACAGAGTCACGAATTGTTCTAGTATGTTTTTGATTCTTTAAAAAGAATCAATTCAAAAGAGTCATTTGTGAATTGAAATACACCGGTTGTAGGCTACTGTATGTTTTTAACTCACTGCTGACATTTTATATCTAGTTATATCCACGTTTAATGACAATGGAAACTATCGCTTGTTGTCACACAAGTAGGCATATGCTAATATCTACAATAAACAATGAATTGGCCAAGAATTGATGCTTGATTATAATATTTGTGCAAAGTATGTTTCTGCTCCAACAATCTGGTCACTTCCACCACTGAATTACATCCAATCAAACGCCTTCTCTCCAAAACCCCGCCCACTAAACTAATGTGAGGCAAATAAGCTTAGCAGCTTTACTGAGAGAAAGAACTACTATGAAGCATTGCTAACAACATGTTCACCCAAGCTTTTCACAAGCTCTTAATATTGTTTGTGTCTATATGGTGTTTTTAATACGCTTTAAGACAAACCATGTGTAAGTTCATAAGTGGACAGCATTGCTGAGTATTTCTCCTTAAAACTGCAGTGAACCAAAGACAGTCTCAAAAACACGTCACAAACGACCTTGTAACCAATCAGATCAACGTGTGATCCTCAACCAGTGGATCTCTGAGTGAGTGGAGGGCTCATTTGCATATTCATAGAACCACGTATACTTAATGAGGCAAGGGTGCCGAGTTACATTCAAGCTTAATATAACATTACATTAATTTTAAATATGTAATTTTTGTGTAATAATACAATTTTGGTATATAAATATATATATATATATGCCTCCAGCACGCTATAATTGGATATGACCGGTTATTGGATATGATTGGATGCCTCTTGTTTTCGAGCACATTCTCGAATAGGCCTGAATAAAGACAATGATGATGTTAACTATAAGAAGAATTAAAAAGTAAGTCAACAGCTCAGCCACTTAGATATAGATCGCTTAATGTAACATCAAAATCACACTTGAAATGGGCTGAAAACATGATGACTGTGGGGTTTAGTGCACGATCAGCTTCAGATATTGCTGTGAGCAGCAGGATGGAAATAAGTTGACTATAAAAAGGAAAGCTTTAGATTGCTATTTCGGAATAAATATTAAAATACGTTAAAAAAAAACCACTATAACTTGAAATTACAATGTATAGCCTAGTAAATATAACATTACATAGGCTAGTTAGTGTAAAAACACATAATAGAATTGTATTTGGTGTCTCTTTTTTACAGTATGTAATGTCTATTTAACCAGGAAAATTAAGTGTAACAGGGACATATATTTAATATTGATCCTCCTCATTTTAAAACACTACCGCATATGTAGCCTATATACCCATACATACAGATATATATACTCAGAGGGTCCCTTTGCATCCGTTTCATGCTCAATGCTTTGTTTGATAAACAGAAGGAGGTTGCCAATAAAAATGACACTCCACATTTCCACATGGATCACCGACTTCCCCAACACTGACCATGAATAATGAAACAGCACGAGACTGCTGGAAACGCGTCGAGGCTCGCGTGCCGCAGGTGTCTGCATCCCTGTCATGACATTTTGCTTAAAATAGGATGTTGCGCGTCCTCGCATTGCATCGCCCCACCGTGCGCGCGCCTCGGGGGGATGCTTGTCCGCGTCTTTACGGAGGAATGACAGAAAATCAACAATGAACCGGTGCAGGGCTCAGCTCGCAGCTCCTAAACCCCGGTTTATGGGTGTGGAGGCTGTCATGCACGAGCCGGGCTGAACCTACACGCATGCACACAGTATCATATAGACACACACAGCGTATTTAAGTGATGCCGCCGATGGGTGAGCATCGTTAGACACGCAGTCGCGCGCCCGGCACCTGCATCGCGATCAGTAAATCACCAAATTTCAGTGCGCTCGCGAAACTGTGACTGTGAGCGCGCGTCATGTTTACCTCTCAGCCATGGTGCCTCTTGTTCCCGCTTTAACACGCAGTGAAAGTAATCCACAGGACGCCAGTCATGGTGAGAGCGGCTCCGCCGCCGCCGCAGTGTGTGTGTGTATGTGTGTGCCTGTGTGTGTGTGTGTGTGAACGCGAATGGACGAGTATCTGGAGCACGCGCTGTCCGCCCGCGTCTCCGTCACCACCGACAACCTGACGTCATTTTGCGCTTTTCGCCCAGGCGAGCGCGCGGGGAGGCTGGAGAGAGCGGGTTACCATGGCAACTCGAGCACGCCGGTGCGCATCTCGAACTGTGTGGAATCATGCAAAATAGAAAGAAAACAATAGGCTAAGTTTTGTTTATCTGTCCGTCCGTCCATCCATCTCTATCTATCTATCTGTCTGTCTGTCTATCGATCTGTCTGTCTGTATATCTGTCTATCTATCTGTTTTTCTGTCTGTCTATTAATCTATCTGTCTGCCTGTATATCTGTCTGTCTATCTATCTATCACAAAAATCTGTCTGTCCATTACAAAAAGTGTATTTGTTTATAATGTGTATTTGTGTATACGTTTATTTAAAGAATGATAGTAATATATATATATACATATATATATTACTATCATATATACATGTACACACTGTATATATATATATATATATATATAATTAAAATTTGATATTTATAATAACGTTTAATTAATTAACGTCTTCCTCTTTTTGCTTAGTGTGCCAATGTAAATCCATTGTGCATATATAATTAAACTGGTCTTAACTAATTAAAAACAATACAGCGCCATCTAGTGTTTACCTGAAATACACTTAGTATGCTTTTTTATTATAATAACGTGACTTCTCATATAGCAAAATCGTATGATGTTTAGAAGAGCTCGCAAATCCAAACACTAACGCGTTTAAACAAGAACAACGGCGTTTTCAATCTCAGAAAGGCGGAACTGACGTGCGTGGCGTTTGTTTCCGCCGGAACCAGAAACAGCTGGAACTCTTCAAAATATAAACAATGCAGGGGTTTTACTTACTGTAAATGAAGCAGATATGAGGTTTGTCAACAGGGTGTTTAGCAGTAAATGGAGGAGGTTGTCCTCATACACACAAGGACAGAGTCCAGAAGCAAGAATCAGAGAGTATTTCTACTATATCGATCATCAAGGACAGGTATAATTAGATGCTTTTATAACTGCTGACATTGATGTCAGTTCCATAATCATGATTTATTTTCTCTCTTGTCAAGCTCTTTCTGGATGACACCAAGGTGAAGAACTTTGTCACCTGTTTCAAAGGTATTTCTATTTGTGCATCAACATTAAAGCCTATATAAACATATATTTGAACCGTTAATGGAGGTTACTTTTAATATAAACTTAAATGTTCTTATGGGGATATGCATATGTCTTGTGGTCTGTATTACATTAATATAAACCTCTTACATGGTGACTGACTTACAGTACAATACAGTTAATCCTCTTTTACTTTTATGTAGCCTACTTAAAATGGCTCTTACTGTGGTATAACATGGTACATTGATATGATAATACCAGTACTGTACGGATACCATATTCAATATTTTACGAAAACATAATAATTGGAGAACCGTAAACATGCAAATGTGTCATAAAATGATTGAGTTATTAGCAAGATTTATCATGTTATTAATATGTTTATTGGCATGTCCTACCAGGATTTAACGTTTTAACACATTGTTAGCATGAATTAACGTTGCTAACATGATTTAACTTGTTGCTGATTAACACTTTGCAAATAGGATTTTACACGTTGCTAACAAGTTTTAACATTTTGTTAGCATGATTAGCATGTTTTAACTTATTGCTAACATTTTTAACATTTTGTTAACCTTTTGCTAACATTAACAGCTTTACCATGTTGTTAACATGATTAACATGTTTTAGCACATTGTTAACATACTTAGTGTGTTACTAACATGATTTATTTTCATGTTGGTAACATGCTAGCATGATTAACATTTTGCAAATATGATTTAACACGTTGCTAACATATTTTAGGAGGTCGCTAGACTTTTGCTAGCATGAATGAACACATTCCTAGTATGTTTTAACATGTTGCTAGCATGATTAGCATGTGGTTAACATGATTAACATGTTTTAACACATTGTTAACATACTTAGTGTGTTACTAACATGATTTATTTTCATGTTAGTAACATGCTAGCATGATTAACATTTTATTTGCAGATATGATTTAACTCGTTGCTAACAAATTTTAACATGTTATTAGGATGTCGCTAGTCTGTTGCTAGCATGAATGAACACATTCCTAGTATGTTTTAACATGTTGTTAGCATGATTAGCATGTGGTTAACATATTTTGCCAAATTTCTAACATGAATTAGCATTTTTTTTTTTACATGTTTTTAGCAGAACAGTCTACGGGGAAGAAAATTAACTCTTTCTCTCTACTCTGTTTCTATTAGACCAGCGCTTTTTAGTTTTCTTCTTCAATCGTCTGAAATTGAACGAGACTGGCCGTTATCAACAGGACTTCCCCTTCCTCTCGCTCTGCGGACGCGAGCGCAACTTCGTGCGCTGCGACGATCGGCCCATCGTTTTCACGCACCTGTTATCGGAGGCGGGGCTTGAGGACCGTCTGTCATACTGTGGAGGCGGAGCTAAACTGACCGTTCCGTTCCAACCGGAGCGTCTTTTCATGCAACCAGTGAGCGGCAGACTGTACCATCCCGGACCGGAGCGGGGGGGAGGGGTGGGGTTGGTACGCTCCGCGTTGGCCATTGATCTGAGTGCACACTTCGAGTTCGCCACGGGTCAGGACAGTTCAGGGCAACCCACTCATTTCATGTGGGCGGGGCGGCGACACACACTAACGAAAGACTTGGCGACACATTTTCATGCTCAAAAAGATTCAACATGATTCGTTCTATCTAGCATTGTGACCATTAAAATCCAGCTGTACGTTCTGAACACACTGCTGAAATAAATGTATATATTGTGTCTAATGGCTGGTCTGATTTCTTAATGTTTGTTTGATACATTTGCCATTATTACATTATTACAATATTGCGTTTTTTTATGAAAAGTAATGCGTTAAGTTACTTTTGGGTTACTTTTTCACACCTTGCTTGTTTTTGTTTAAGTAAAGTCTCTTTCACACCAAAAGTGAAGTGAATGGGCTCTATGCACGGCGGTATTTCCGGTGAAGCATTAGGGATGCTCGATAACTTCCCGATCATAGAGTCCAATGCAATAGCAAGAATTTATATTGAATTTTATACTCCATGGTTATACTAATGAAACGTTAGTCACAAAAACAGATAAAACAGACACCCCTCGTTGTGTTTATGCTTCTTTTTAAAATTATATCAAATAAACATAACTGTATATAAAATTACATCTAAACGTATGTACGTTTCGTTTCAAAGACGGGAGGACAGTAAATATTGAAGACTCTGTCATAATCCCGTTTTCTCCGGTTTTCCTCCGCTTTAATCTACACAACCGGAAATAGACGAGCATCCTTACGTCAAATGCGGAACTTATGCGTGCATATAGCCCATAATCCTCAGGCTGTCGGAAATGCATGTTTACTCCTGTACAGTAGAGGGCGCCGCTCAAACAAAACTCTTATTTCTAAATCTAATCTAAAGTCATTTTTGCTTATTAGTATGGTTGAATTAAATATTGAAGGTTGGCAACAAAGACATTGTTTAACAAAGTGAGATTAAATACATAAAGTATGTTTGTAATTTAACATAATTATAAAAGTTTTGCTTAAAATTATGAGATTGCATTTTACTGTTTTTATTAATTTTGAGGAATACTGAATGTTTTTGTGCAAGTGAGATGAGCAAATGCATGTTCACATTTAGTCTAAAAATAAAATAAATCATGTTTACACACCTCACTTTATTTCTCTCAATATGGGGACAGGAGAGCTGTCAGTCAATAAATGTGAAAACGTTACTCTGGTATTTTGCTGTAAATTGAAAAAGTAATGCGTTACTTACTTGAAAAAGTAATCTGATTACGTAACTCCCCCTACACTGCAAACTCGTGACTTTCTTTTTTCCGTACAGCACAAACAGAATGAACTGGATGCTGCTGATCGACTATAACAATAAACTAAGTAATAAAACACCACTAAACTGTCCCTATAGGCGTCAGTACACTACCACATTCACAAGTGAAGTCCCCTTGTGGTGAAAATCAAGCTTTCAATGTTGGTTTAAGACAAACCATGTGCAAATTAATAAAACAACATAATTGCTGAGTATATATTGGCAACGTCTTCCTAGCATCAAATAAACCTTCGTACTTCGTAACAATCTGATTGAGCTGTTAGTTAGTGTGTTGATATATGATCTGCAGGGTCATGCAGTGTGTTGGTCCCTGTCCCAAATGGCACACTTCAAATGGTCTTGCGCGTGTCCATGAGACCGGAGAGTGTCCCATTTGTCATTTTAGGTTTCCGAAGGTCGATGTTTTTTGTTTTTTTTAAAGGAAGTAACTCATTTTATTGAACAAAGAAGGAAACACGAAACAGTCACGCGCCCTCGATGTCCACAGACTTCAGTCAAAGCGGCGTTACGTCACAAAAGTGCGGACTCGAAGGAAGAGTGTTTAGTTTGACATTTGGGACAGAGCCAAAGTGTTGAAACGTCTCAAACCAGTTTACAAACACAGATTGGTGAACACATGAGAGTAGTTGGGCGGAGACTGTATACTAGCAGAATTCAAGTAACCGTGTAAAGGGTCACCCGGTCACACGTGAGCATACGGTGGGAGACGGGAGACTTTTGCCTACTAAGGCAAAGACGGGAAACACTCATACTGCATGTCCCACAACAACAAAAACAACCAGATACACTAAACTGAATCATGGCCACACGGGAGGGAAATGAGCACCCCGTGCTTCACCGGGTTCCTCCGTTACTCACGGATCTGTACCAGTTCACCATGGCGTACGCGTACTGGCGCGCGCGCAGACACAACGAGCCGGCCGTGTTCGAACTGTTTTTCCGGGATAACCCGTTCGGCGGAGGGTTTTCACTCTTTGCGGGTCTGAGCGACTGTTTGCTGTTCCTACAAAACTTCAGGTTCTCAGATGACGGTGAGTTACTGCATACACACTTACTTGTGTCTTTGACTTTCAGAATGCGTCTCAAAACCTAGTACACATTTTTGAGTATGTGTCTGATGTGCTCCCTAATTCACAGCATGTGATTCAAAACCTAGTATGCTGAATGTGTCGTAAAACCTAGTGCACCGAGTATATAATGCATCTTAAAACCTAGTATGCTGCCTAACTAAACAGCATGTCATAAATCCAGTGAGTTCCCTAGTTGTCTTAAAACTCCTGAGTGTCTTAAAACCTAGTGCACTGTCTGCATAATGCATCTTAAAACCTAGTATGCAGCCTAACTAAACAGCATGTCATAAATCCAGTGAGTTCCCTAGTTGTCTTAAAACTCCTGAGTGTCTTAAAACGTAGTGCGCTGTCTGCATAATGCATCTTAAAACCTAGTATGCAGCCTAACTAAACAGCATGTTATAAAACCATTGAGCACCCTACCCAAAACTAATTTTTGGTCATGCATATCAAATCTTAGTATGCTACATAACTTTTTGCATGCCATAAAACCTAGTTAACTGACTACCTAAACAGATTTTTTTCTGTCATCCATCTTAACCTCACTAACCTACTGTAGTATGCTGCATAACTTGACAGCATTGCATGTGTCGTAAAACCTAGTGCACGGAGAATATAATGCATCTTAAAACCTAGTATGCTGGCTAACTAAACAGCATGTCATAAATCCAGTGAGTTCCCTAGTTGTCTTAAAACTCCTGAGTGTCTTAAAACCTAGTGCGCTGTCTGCATAATGCATCTTAAAACCTAGTATGCAGCCTAACTAAACAGCATGTCATAAATCCAGTGAGTTCCCTAGTTGTCTTAAAACTCCTGAGTGTCTTAAATGTAGTGCGCTGTCTGCATAATGCATCTTAAAACCTAGTATGCAGCCTAACTAAACAGCATGTCATAAATCCAGTGAGTTCCCTAGTTGTCTTAAAACTCCTGAGTGTCTTAAAACCTAGTGCGCTGTCTGCATAATGCATCTTAAAACCTAGTATGCAGCCTAACTAAACAGCGTGTCATAAATCCAGTGAGTTCCCTAGTTGTCTTAAAACTCCCGAGTGTCTTAAAACGTAGTGCGCTGTCTGCATAATGCATCTTAAAACCTAGTATGCAGCCTAACTAAACAGCATGTTATAAAACCATTGAGCACCCTACCCAAAACAAATTTTTGGTCATGCATATCAAATCTTAGTATGCTACATAACTTTTTGCATGCCATAAAACCTAGTTAACTGACTACCTAAACAGATTTTTTTCTGTCATCCATCTTAACCTCACTAACCCAGTATGCTGCATAACTTGACAGCATTGCATGTGTCGTAAAACCTAGTGCACGGAGAATATAATGCATCTTAAAACCTAGTATGCTGGCTAACTAAACAGCATGTCATAAATCCAGTGAGTTCCCTAGTTGTCTTAAAACTCCTGAGTGTCTTAAATGTAGTGCGCTGTCTGCATAATGCATCTTAAAACCTAGTATGCAGCCTAACTAAACAGCATGTCATAAATCCAGTGAGTTCCCTAGTTGTCTTAAAACTCCCGAGTGTCTTAAAACGTAGTGCGCTGTCTGCATAATGCATCTTAAAACCTAGTATGCAGCCTAACTAAACAGCATGTTATAAAACCATTGAGCACCCTACCCAAAACTAATTTTTGGTCATGCATATCAAATCTTAGTATGCTACATAACTTTTTGCATGCCATAAAACCTAGTTAACTGACTACCTAAACAGATTTTTTTCTGTCATCCATCTTAACCTCACTAACCTACTGTAGTATGCTGCATAACTTGACAGCATTGCATGTGTCGTAAAACCTAGTGCACGGAGAATATAATGCATCTTAAAACCTAGTATGCTGGCTAACTAAACAGCATGTCATAAATCCAGTGAGTTCCCTAGTTGTCTTAAAACTCCTGAGTGTCTTAAATGTAGTGCGCTGTCTGCATAATGCATCTTAAAACCTAGTATGCAGCCTAACTAAACAGCATGTCATAAATCCAGTGAGTTCCCTAGTTGTCTTAAAACTCCTGAGTGTCTTAAAACCTAGTGCGCTGTCTGCATAATGCATCTTAAAACCTAGTATGCAGCCTAACTAAACAGCGTGTCATAAATCCAGTGAGTTCCCTAGTTGTCTTAAAACTCCCGAGTGTCTTAAAACGTAGTGCGCCGTCTGCATAATGCATCTTAAAACCTAGTATGCAGCCTAACTAAACAGCATGTTATAAAACCATTGAGCACCCTACCCAAAACAAATTTTTGGTCATGCATATCAAATCTTAGTATGCTAGATAACTTTTTGCATGCCATAAAACCTAGTTAACTGACTACCTAAACAGATTTTTTTCTGTCATCCATCTTAACCTCACTAACCAGTATGCTGCATAACTTGACAGCATTGCATGTGTCGTAAAACCTAGTGCACGGAGAATATAATGCATCTTAAAACCTAGTATGCTGGCTAACTAAACAGCATGTCATAAATCCAGTGAGTTCCCTAGTTGTCTTAAAACTCCTGAGTGTCTTAAATGTAGTGCGCTGTCTGCATAATGCATCTTAAAACCTAGTATGCAGCCTAACTAAACAGCATGTCATAAATCCAGTGAGTTCCCTAGTTGTCTTAAAACTCCCGAGTGTCTTAAAACGTAGTGCGCTGTCTGCATAATGCATCTTAAAACCTAGTATGCAGCCTAACTAAACAACATGTTATAAGACCATTGAGCACCCTACCCAAAACTAATTTTTGGTCATGCATATCAAATCTTAGTATGCTAGATAACTTTTTGCATGCCATAAAACCTAGTTAACTGACTACCTAAACAGATTTTTTTCTGTCATCCATCTTAACCTCACTAACCTACTGTAGTATGCTGCATAACTTGACAGCATTGCATGTGTCGTAAAACCTAGTGCACGGAGAATATAATGCATCTTAAAACCTAGTATGCAGCCTAACTAAACAGCATGTTATAAGACCATTGAGCACCCTACACAAAACTAATTTTTGGTCATGCATATCAAATCTTAGTATGCTAATGCTATGCTAAGAAATTTTCAATTTTGAGGTGAACTAATCTTTTAAATGCAAATATAAACGGACATTGAATAAAATGACTTTAAATTGCAGACGAAATTTTTGACTGTGGTTTAATACACTGCATGTTTTGTTAATTTTTTTTTTCTGGTTTCAAAGGTGTTTTATTCATTATTTTCATTAGTTTCTTGAAAAGTGACGAATATTAAAGGCACAGAAATAACCCCGCTTAAGCTCAGCTTGATGTGTGTGTCCCAGATGTGGAGTATTTGCGCTCCGTTCTCCCGGCGGACACAGACGCCGCTTTCTTCACGTATCTGAAGGAGCTGGACTGTTCGTCGGTGTGCGTGTCGGCAGTGCCCGAGGGATCCGTGGTCTTCGCCCGAGTACGTGAGCGGTTCGGAGGTGATGTGGTGTTGTGCTGTGGGACGCTGAGCTCACGTTGAGGTGTGTGTTATTGGTGTGTTTAGGTTCCTCTGCTGGAAGTGTCTGGGCCGCTGGCTGTGGTTCAGTTGCTGGAGACAAGCCTGCTCTGCCTGGTCAACTACGCCAGGTAAACACAACAACACACTTAAAACATTCTGGTAAATGACATTATTTTCTTGAATGCAATGGTGCTTAAAATATATATATATTTAGTTTTTTCAGTGAAGTGAAAGGAGTTGCTTTCTGTTTTCTGGTGCTGTTTTTTTTTTTTTACCGAAACATTTTACTTTTTTGTTTTTAACTTCATCGGGATGGTATGAAACTTGGTATAGTAAAGGTTTTGGCACTTGCTATGTGAACACATGATTCGAACAGGTTAAAAAAAAACACACTTTTGCTGATAATTTACTCACCCCCGTGTCATCCAAGATGTCCATGTCTTTCTTTCTTCAGTCGAAAAGAAATTAAGGTTTTTGATGAAAACATTCCAGGATATTCTCCATATAATGGACTTCAATGGGGTCCAAATGGTTCAAGGTCCAAATGAGAGTTTCAGTGCAAACTGCAAACTGTTCAAAGGGCTTTAAACAACACCAGACGATGAATAAGGGTCTTATCAAGCGAAACGATCGCTCATTTAATAAATAAATCACAAAGTTTAAGTTTTATAAGCACAAATGCTCACCTTGCTCTGTTCTGAGCCCGTTTGGACCCCATTGAAGTCCATTATATGGTGAAAAATCCTGGAATGTTTTCATTAAAACCTTAATTTCTTTTCGACTGAAGAAAGAAAGACATGGACATCTTGGTAAATTATCAGTGAACTACTCCTTTAATGGTCCTGGTCCTCGCGGTCAGGAGTTTCCTCTAGTGGAAGCTTTCGGTACTGCAACCAAACACACTCTTACTGAGAGATCATTTTTTGAGATATTAACCTCAAATTTGATTTATGACTTTGATTTTTTTGCTGTTTTAGAGTAAAACGTTTTTTTTTTTTTCCTAATCTATATTTTATATAAAAATTTAAAATAGTATGCTGTCCATTTTTCATAACATCAATCTTTTTTATCTCTATCTATCTATCATCTGAATTATTGAGCTTGACGACAGCATCATTATCTCACAATTTGTGTAGAATGAGATTATTTACCTTAGCTAATAACTGAAACTGTTTTACAACAATTATTTTTTTTAAGAGTTCTCAAAAATGTGAATTGTACATAAAAAAAATCTCTATGAGTGTAAAGTGTAATAACCTGTGTGGCGATTTTCCTGTGTGTGCGCTCTCTCTCTCTCTCTCAGTCTGGTGTGTAGCAACGCTGCCCGTTTCCGTGTGGCTGCGGGTCCCAGACGGAGACTGATGGAGATGGGGCTCAGACGAGCTCAGGGGCCCGACGGGGGCCTCACCGCATCCCGGTACTCGTACATCGGCGGTAAGAGCTGCAAAAACACCAACACTTTACAGTAAGGTTCAGTAGTTAATGTATTTATTAACAAACACATGTGTTACAGTATTTATGAATCATTATGAATCACAGTTCATTGTTTGTTCATGTTAGTTCACAGTAGAGCCCGACCGATAAAGGATTTTGAAGGCCGATACCGATACAAATATTTTTGGGTTTTAAAATCCGAAACATCAGCCGATATTTTTTTTATTAAATATTGTTGGATTTCACACACGTGTAAAAGAAAAGCTAACTTTTCTGCACAAGATACGTTTGATACTTTTTCTCTATGTCTAAATGTTCACTCCTCGCAAGTATAACGTCAGACTGTAACTAGATATGTGCTAGTTATAAATACAGTAATCATTACTTTATTTAGGCAGAAAAAGTTCATTGTGGTTTCCAAGCTCATTAATGTTAACGTTAGCGGTCTTCCACTGATGATAGTGGCATTTGCTAGCTTTGTGGTTAGCTAGTCTATGATGATAGCAATAGATAACGTCATACTGCAAATTGTAAAACATACATTTTCAATATAACAGGCCAAGGAGAGATGATTAAAGTGTGTTTCGTCCGTTTTTATTTTATTTTTTAAATATTAATTTATCGGCCATTATAACTGCCGATACCGAAGTTTGGAAAATGCCTAATATCGGCCGATAATATCGGTCTGGCTCTAATTGTTTGATACAATATTATTTTATTTGATATTATGTAAATGTGAATTTGAATTTTATATTGGTTTATAATAATATCGGTCTGGCTCTAGATCACAGAGCATTAACTAATGTTAACAAAATACAACCTTTGATTTAAATAATGTATTAGTAAATGTTAATGTTAATAAATGCTGAAGTATTGTTCAATCTAAGTTCATGTTAACTAATGTGAACCTCATCATAAAACATGTTTCTGCAAAGAACCAACATCTATAAATTACAGGAACGTGTGTGTGTGTGTGTGTGTGTGTGTGTTACTCACATATCTCTCGAAGCGTTGGTCCAATTGATTTCAAACTTGGCAGATGTCTTGCTACGGGCGCGAGTGAGTGCAGTGCTTGGATTAGAAACACAAAAGATATCGTTAAATATATCGGTGAAAGAAGCACACACTGAAGATGTTCAGATGGTCGTGGTTTAAAAATAAACATTCGGACATTAACACTACGTCAGCTAAACATTAACATAAAAATGTCACTGAACTTTTGCTGTGTAATTGTAACAATGAGCACTCAAAACACACCAAACCAACAATTACTAAAAATAAAAAGAGTTTTTGCAGGGGAACTTTACAGTGATATCCAGAGGTGAATCAGTCCTCGAGGACGATCTGTACGATAACTTCATCATCATCTGAACGGCCACGGCTGTCTCTGTTTGATCCTCCAGGTTTTGATCTGACTAGTAATGCTCTCGCCGGGCGGCTGTTTGGCATTCCTGTGGCGGGAACAATGGCACACTCTTACGTCACTTCCTTTTCCTCCCTGGAGGAGGTGTGGCCACAGGTGGGGAACACACTTCAATGTTTCTCATTAATATGCAGTTACTTCATATTTCTTAACCCTCAAATCTGATAACACTTTGTCATTTAAACCTCCACAATATGTGTATTTTTTTACAAAGGTTTGTCTCAGTTAATTTATGTCTTTGTTGACTACTTAAGTAACGTTTTAAGTCCCACCCCACCTAACCCCGGCCCTTACACATCCAGAATACCCATTGCACGACTATGGACAAATTTACAAATCAACATAAAATCTTACTGATTTGACCTAAAATTGGAAAAGTATAAATACATCTGGTGTTTTATAATATTTCTAAGTATATATTTTTGTAATCTATAACATTTGGAAAGAAAAACTATTTATTTTATCAAGGATAGTAAAATGAGTTATGCTTGGCGTCAATCTCACAAAAATGATGTTTTCCCCTCCAAATTCAAATTATAACATGTTATAATGACCTCAATATAACAACCAAAACAAATGTGTGTGAAATTTTAATATTTCTTGTGTTTTATTGTACAACTAAAAGAGCCTGGGGTCAAACTGACCCCAATCAACACCGATGCTACAAAATTTGTACAGGACTTTGAAAAAAAAAAAAATATTAGCAGGTTAATTTTATGTTTACAGAGTTGTCCCCATTAAATTTGAAAAATTCATTAAATTTGAAGAAAAATAAATAAATTAAATTAGGTTTTTACAGACGTTAAACATTGAATGGGGTCAAATTGACCCCAAGGATAATAGGACTCTTTTTGTGTGTGATGGTTTTCTCTTCTGCTCAAAAAGGCTGCATTTATTTGATCAAAAAACAGAAAAATTTAAAATGTAATTTTTTTTTTTTACTTGAATATGTTAAACTCTAATTTATTCAGGATTCTCTGATTCTCCAAAGTTCAAAAGAACGGCTTTTATTTTTAATTATGCTGCATCACTGACTTTAATACACATTTTGATTGATTTAATGCATCCTTGCTGAATAAGTATTGAAGCTTTTAAAAAAGAAAGCTTATATATGAAGAGTTCAGATGCAAAAGCCTCTAAGTGCCATTTGAAATTTTCTTCTAGAATGATGATTTTTATCAAGCTTGTATATTTAAGTTCAGTGATTTCACTTAAATGGCAATGAAGATTACCTATTAATTGTTATTGAAGTGAAATTACTAAACTTAAATATACAAGTTTGATCAAAATCATCATTAAAGAAGAAAATTTCAAATGGCATTTAGAAGTTTTTGCATCTGAACTCTTCATATATATATTTATCTGCATGTGTGGCGTCAGACTCTGGTTCCCTGTGGTGGCGACGGCCCGATTGACTTCATCTGTCTGGTGAAGGGCTGGCTGGGTCGCGTCTGCCAGCTTTTGGGCTCAAAGCCGAACCTCATTCGAGAGGGCGAACTCGCGGCCTTCCTTTCTTACGCCATCGCTTATCCTCAAAACTTCCTCCCTGTGATCGACAGCTACAGTGTCAGCTGGTGAGACATTCCCCGAGGCACGTGATGCTGGTGTATGTTGATGTTTTATCTGTGTGTAGATGACTGTGTGTGTGTGTGTGTAGCAGTGGTCTGCTGTGTTTCTGTGCTGTGGCGTTGGGTCTGGATGAGCTGCAGTATCGGCCGCTGGGCGTCAGGCTGGACAGTGGCGACCTCTGCAGGCAGTCGCTGGAAGTGCGCCGAGTCTTCAAAGAATGCAGCAAACAGTGAGACATTTATTTATTTTACAATATTTCTGCGTCTCAATCCGACTACTTTTACTACTCTTTCAGTGAAGAACAAGTGCTAACTTTTAAGTGTGTAGCAGGAGACTACACAAGCTTTGGGAGTCGGGACGCACAATCACGTCATACAATTGCGTCTTCAGTGGCTGATCTCTGACTGGTGTAATCCACCAGCCGGAAGTTAGCAGTTAGTTTTAGTTAGTTAGTATTAGAAGTTAGTTAAGTTCTCCCGCTGTTAACACTCCAGTTTTTTGGCGTCACTTTGACGGCGAATAACTTATTTTAGTATTATTTATACACTATTATATTTTCAGTTTTTGTCATGTTTATTAGCTTTTTTGTATATTTCTATTTAGATTGAGTTAAATTGAGTAATTTTAGTACTTCAACTTAAATGCATTTCAGTTCGTTTCTAAGGCAACGTTTAATTTTTAAAGTTTAATATTTAAAATTTTTATATTTTGTGATTTTATTTCAGCTTCATTTCAATTTCCGAATTTAACCAGGGACAATATCGTTAACAACTAAAACAAAATCTAAAAACACATTAATATTAATTGAAATAATATCTAATATAAAAAAGAAACTTATTTTATGTGAGCTAGTTGCGAGACATTTAGTTTACGTTTTTTTAAGTTTAAGTTCTAATGTTCATGTTATTGTTTCAAAATAAAAGGGAAGGCTTACTGCGCTTCTGTACAATGCCAAACGATCCGGTGCAACCAGAGCAGGACAAGACCAAACAGAAAGGGAGAATCACCGGTGCAGCAATCTTCTTGGTAACAAATTTATTAAAGGTGCAAAACTCGACTACCGTTTCGATGTCAAACTACATCTTCATCAGAGTCCTTGGAGAAAATGAGTAATGAAACCATTAATAAGGATCATCAACAGGTGTGTAAAGGGGGCGTGACCCATCCCGGACACACTCATCTAAACCAAGGTGCCACACTCAAACAATCAATCATTAAAAAGTAAATGCACTGACATGCCTAATGGTGTTTAGGCATGTTATTGTATTTCAGCTTAATTTTAAATGACAAAAAATATTGTAAACATCTTTATTTTAAACCGAGTTTAACTAAAATTCTAAAAAAATGACTTAAAATAAACAACTTAAATAGTATAAAATAAAGCTAGTATAGCTAGTTCTCAAGCTCTTTTTCGTTTAGTTTAGGTCTGACGTAATAAAATAACTTTAAATTGCAAAAACTTTATCAAAAATTTAAATGAAACTGAAAATATAAAAAAAGTCAATTATAAAAAGTATATAATTGTATCCAATAGTCAATAAACTCATCTTTGATCACCAAAATTACATTTAAACGATTCCTTAAAATGTCTTGACTATAACTCAACACCCTTGCCTCATTAAGTACACATGGTTCTATGAATATGCAAATGAGCCCCGCCTCCACTCACTCTTTGTCGATCACACGTTGATCTGATTGGTTAAAAGATTGTTTGTGACGTCAGAAACACCAGCGATTCACTGCAACTCAGCAATGCTGTCAACTTATGAACTTACACATGGTTTGTGTTAAAGCACATTAAAAACATCACAGACAAAAACAAAACATTTCAGCACAGGGGGGCTTTACACAGACACTAAACTTCAATAACGATCTGTGTTTGTGTGTGTAGTTTCTCAGTTCCTCAGTTCGAGTCTCTCCTCATCGTGGGCACAAACAGTGTTTCTGAACAGAGTCTCTCTGAACTCAACAAGAAGGTAAGCGCTTTTCACACTGACAGCAACGTTCATGTGCAGTGAGACGTGTACATTACCTGTCTGTCCGTGTGCGTGTCAGGATAATGAGATCGATGTGGTCGGTGTCGGGACTCATCTGGTCACATGCACACGTCAGCCGTCTCTCGGGTGTGTTTATAAGGTACCGAAATCTGTTGCAAAACACACAAGTTTTAGATTTTTCTCAATTCTGTCTCCCGCTTGAGTTTAGTTTGTTGCCACTGTCGCCTTTGGCTTTTGGCTTGCCTAGTTGGGGACATAAAATTTAACATTCAACCGTATTATAGACACCTTATACACGACAATGTATAAATGGCTCCATTAGCTTACCCCGTAGAAACAGTTTTTGTGAAAATAGGCTAATTATTGCGTCATAACACAATAACGTAACGTAAGATACAAGCTAATGGAGCCATTTATACATAGTCGTGTTTCTTTTGAAATAAACAATGGACAAATGGAGTCTTTAAACGCCTCAGATGTAAAATTATTCGCCGTCAAAGTGACCCCAAAATGAATGGGAGTCAATGGAGTGCTAACACAAAGTGATTTATTAACACATGTTCATGGCTTTATTACTCACCCTGAGGTTCCCTCTCTCTTCAGCTGATAGAGGTCAGAGGTCGTCCCAGAATGAAGTTCAGTGAAGATCGAGAGAAAAGCACATTGCCTGGGAGAAAGTCTGTCTATAGGCTTCTGGACACAGACAGTCAGAGTTTATCTGTTGTGCTTTATATATATATATAGAGAGAGAGTTAATATATGAAGAGTTCAGATGCAAAAGCCTCTAAATGCCATTTGAAATTTTCTTCTTTAATGATGATTTTTTATCAAACTTGTATATTTAAGTTCAGTAATTTCACTTAAATAACAATTAATAGGTAATTATCATTGCCATTTAAGTGAAATTACTGAACTTAAATATACAAGTTTGATAAAAATCCTCATTAAAAAAAGAAAATTTCAAATGGCATTTAGAGGCTTTTGCATCTGAACTCTTCATATATATATATATATATGAAGAGCTCAGATACAAAAGCCCATAAGTGCCATTTAGGTTCAGTAATTTCACTTAAATGACAATTAACAGGTAATTTTCATTGTCATTTAATTGAAATTACTGAACTTAAATATACAAGCTTGGTAAAAATGATCATTCCAGAATAAAAAGGCCGGTGGCACTTATGGGCTTTTGCATCTGAACTCTTCATATAAACACTGCCGTTCAAAAGTTTTTAGTTGGGATTTTAATGATTTTAAAAGTCATAAAATGTTATATTTTAAATATGTGAAATATTATTCTACTGTAAATCAGCTGTTTTCTATGTGAATATATTGTAAAGTGTAATTTATTCCTGTGATCAAAGCTGAATTTATCATCATTACTCCAGTCTACAGTGTCACATGATCCTTCAGAAATCACTCTAATATGATGATCTGATGATCAAGAGACATTTAGTATTATTATCAGTGTTTAAAATAGTTTTTGATAAATAAAAAGCTCAAAATAACATTTATTTTAAATATATTTTATCTATTTGTAAAATTATACACTACCACATTATTTTCATCAAAGATGCACTAGATTGATCAAAAGTTACAGTGAAGACATTTATAACTTACAAAAGATTCTATTTCAAATAAATGAAATATAACTTTCTATTCTACTTTCAAGACTGGAGTAATGATGCTGAAAATTCAGCTTAAATTGCAGAAATAAATTACATTTGAACATATATCCACATAGAAAACACATTTTAAATTGTCACAATATTACAGATTTTTGTTTTATATTTTTTATCTAATCTTTAATTTAATTTAATTTTTTTTTGTCTTTTTAATTTGTTTTGTATTTTTAATCGAATAAATGCAGCCTTGGTGAGCAGAAAAACAAAGACATTAAAACCGTATCATACCGATCCCAAACTTTTAAACTGCAGTGTATACATTGTGTGTGTGTGTGTGTGTGACTGGAGACTTATTCATTTTTAACTGATTTGCCAAATCTATTATTCATTTCATACCGATTTTACATGCAAAAATTAGCTGTGCGTTTAACCAGCTGAATGGAGTTGAACTGAGTGTGTGTTTCGCAGCTCATCCGCTGATGGATCTGGTGTGTCTGTCAGAAGAACCGGCTCCTAAAGCCGGCGTCTCACTGAACTGCTTTCCGCTAGGACTGGACAACACCGCTCAATCCATCACTCCTGCTCATGTAGCCAGTCTACGTTTGGAGGTCTTCTCCCGCGGGCAGGTCAGCGCGTCCGATTTCAGCGCTTCATTTATTACAGGAACACGCCGCCGGTTTTTTAAATAGGGGTTACTCACCCCTACATTTAGCAAACTTATTTTTGTCTCAGCGCATGCGTTGTCTAGCTTAGCCTAGCATAATGAATGAAATGCTTTGTTGGTGGATAGCATAGCGAGTGAAAGTGATCAAAATGGTGGCGTGGTCCTTTAAAGAAGAACTGTAGAGTTTAGCTTCTGTCTCGATGAAGCCCCTCCTTCTGAAATGCACACTGCGCTCTGATTGGTCGGCTGGAGTAGAGTGTTGTGATTGGTCGAGCGCTTCGAGTGTGTTTAGGAAATGTCCCGCCTCTTACCATAACCACCAGTTTAACCAACCCGATCTCAAAAATTCGTACGAATTTTACGAGGTGGCTAATTCGTAACAATTTGTACGACCTCACTCGTACGAATTAGTACGATTTAGCTAATTCGTACATATTTTACGAATTAGCCAATTCGTATGAATTCGTACGAATGACCTACCCCTGACCCCGCCCCTAAACATAACCGTCACGTGGGTTTAGACAAATCGTACAAATTTGTACGAGTGAGGTCGTATGAATTAGTACGAATTAGCCACTTTTGAATCATTCGTACGAATTGGTCGTGAGATAGGGTAGGTTTAACACACTACTAACCAATTCAACCAGGCTCCGCCCCTTAATTGGGTGAATTAATTATTTAAATGAGGAATATTGTGACGCGTTCGTTACACTAATGCGATTTAACATTTTATTAGCAAATCTCATGTTGATAAAATATTCCTAGCATGAATTACCAATAAGTTAGCATGTTTTAACATGTTGCGAGCATGGTTTGGCACGCAGTTAGCATAAATTAGCACATTGCTAGAATGTCTCTAGCCGCAATTAGCACATACCATGTTTTGACATTTTTCTAACATGAATTAACAAATTGTTAGCATTTTTCTTACATGAATTGGCACATTTTTGTATTTTGCTAGCATGATTTAACACGTTGCTAGCATGTTGCTATCACAAACTAACAAATTGTTAGCATTTTTCTTTCATTAATTAGCACAACTCTAACATGATTTAATAAATTGCTAGCATGAATTAAGTTTTAACACATGGCTAGCATATTTTAACGTTGTCCTAGGCTAGTTAGATGGCTTAAATACTCTATATGTTTTGACCCCCTTAATGAGTTATGTTCATAAATCGCTCTTGGACGTTTAAAGTACGAATTGTTAGTCTCAGAAGTAGTAGTTTAAATAGAAAATGGCTAACATAATGAGCTCAAATCTACAGATGGGAACTCGTAGCATTTTTTGTACAGAAGCTAATTGAAATGTGTTTGTGTGCACAGATCACATTCCCCCTCAACAGCGCGTCAGAGAGTCGTGAGCGCGCACAGATTTCTCTGCAAACGCTGCATCCTCACCACAGGAGACTACAAGAGCCGCACAATTACACAGTGAGTTCAAATGTGGCACGTTAGACATTGCTAACGTGATTTAACACGTTGTTAGCCAATTTTAACATGTTGTTAACGCATTCCTAGCACGAATTAGCAAAATGCTAGCATGTTAACATGATTTAACTTACTGTTAACACCAATTAAAACATTGCTAACATGTTTCTTGCATCAATTTAAGCATTTAAAATTTTAGCGTTTTGCTAACATGTTAGCATTTTAGCATTTTGCTAACATGATTTAGTATTTTGCTAGCATTAACATGTTTAAAACACATGGCTAGTTTGTTGTAGTATGTTTCCTAAGTCCTTGGCTAGCTGTTAAGCTTTGCTTATAGTGATATCCAGCTCAAATACTCAGTAAGAGTTATAAAATGTGTAAAAGTTTTGACCTGACTACAAGAGACGCAAACTTACACCGTGAGTTCACTGTAATAAATATAGCATATACCATATTTACAGAATGAAAAATTTTCTTAAAGGTGGCTTTATCGGAGCGGCTGCACTCCCTGGTCTCTGACATCACAAAAGGAAACGGTAAAGGCAGCAACTTCCTGCTGTCGAACTGAAGCCGTAACCCGGAGCCCAGACCAAAGTCACAGCCATTAAATCTAAAGGATACGGTGCTTCAGAGGCGAATGATCTAATAATAGATGTAGCAATGGTGCATTTCATGATTAACTAATAAAATATGTGATTAATGAAAATGATTGTTTACGGTTATATGTAATATAATAAAGTTTTATGAATAAAAGTGAACTGACTCATGACTCTCTGTGGTTCGGGTTCCAGAAGTAAAAACTAATTTCCTTCCTAATCGATTGTACTGTATTTGTTCACAACATCGTTTCATGGATTGTAGTTCTTTCCCTCTCTAAAGACGATACGTTCACAGTCTTGTACGTATTTTGGTCAGATTTTTCTAATGCTTTTTTTGCTTAAAATCAAAATTTGCAATGTTATGATACTCAGCTGGTCGGCTTGGTTCATGGCTTAAGACTTTTTTTTCCTATGGGAGAAATGAATGGGAAAAAATACCAACGCCACTGAAAAAGTATTATTTATTTCACATTTTAAGTATTAAAAAGTATTTAAAAATAGTAAAAATACTATTTGGAAAATCTAGTTCTAATTGTTTTTAATATATCAATTAAAGTAACGCTATGTAGCTTTTCATCCTTCATGATATATTTCCAAGACCCTGGTGATGGTACATCGACTTACAATAGGTTAATTGACACGTCTGCCATAGCCTGACGGGGTCTGTATCGCTTTTACTGGCACTATGTAACTTAGCACAAAAAGAACTACAAAATTCGACTGCTTTACGTCAAGCGTTAAAATAGTCATTTTTTTTGTTTTTCTTCGTTTCTGATGTCACAATACATCATACTTTCATGAAATCATGCAATATACTCTACCTTGTCTGTGGACATCGTTCATTACAAAGCCGGTGCTGGATAAACAGCGAGTGTGCGTGCGACAGTAGGCCGCGCTAGGCTAAATTATTTACGATAACGGTAATGAATAATTCTGCTTCCAACCAGCAGGCCGACCGCAGAGGAAAAGTTACTTAGAGTTGCTTTAACACTGTACATGTAATTAATCTAATAGATATATTAGATTAATTAGACACTTATTCATCGTCTGGAATCGTTTAAAGCCCTTTGAAGCTGCACTGAAACTCTCATTTGGACCTTGAACCGTTTGGTTCCCATTGAAGTCCATTATATGGAGAAAATCCTGGAATGTTTTCATCAAAAACCTTAATTTCTTTTCGACTGAAGAAAGAAAGACGTGGACATCTTGGATGGCATGGGGGTTAGTAAATTATCAACTAAGTTATTTTAAAAATAAACTACTCCTTTAATGTGCACAAATGTAAACGCACTGTGTTCTGATTGGCTAATCACCGTGATCGCATGTTAATGTCAAGTACACAGTCTCTTCAAACAGAAACGAGAGGCTTCAGCGTCAAACAACTTGTTATTTAAAACAGTTAAATAACATGTGCAGATCAACGTGCTGCAATGTGTAGGATTTGATCTTTGACAAGATGATTGACAGGTCAGTTTACTGTGATAAGATGCGACAGAGGGGAACCGTTAAATACGCACTTGTATGATGTGATAGTAGGCTACGTCCCAAAGCATTTTTGTTCAATAAAAAATAAATACATTTAAATAAATTTAAAAAGGAAGTGTCTCACTGTTTGCTGCATTCTTTGAAGACTCGGCGCACTTCCAGCGACTGCCTGCGGAGGTCGCCACTGTCCAGCCTGACGCCCAGCGGCCGATACTGCAGCTCATCCAGACCCAACGCCACAGCACAGAAACACAGCAGACCACTGCTACACACACACACACACACACACACGTCTGGTCCACTATCTTTGTGGGGACTCTCCATAGGCATAATGATTTTTATACTGTAAAAACTGTATATTCTATCCCCTTTGAAATTCTAAAACGTGAAAAAGTCGTGGCTTATTGTTCTCAAACAGTGATGTTAAAAGACCAAACTCAGTAAACATCATATTAATAAGCCATACTATGTAAAAAAAAAAAAAAAAAAATCAGAGGTCCCACGTGAAATTTAAGACCTCCTTTTCAGAAATTCCACATTTTAAGACATTTTCAGACCTTAATAATTGAAAATTTTATTTAGGTCATTTCAAGACTTTTTAGGGACCCGCGGGGACCCTCGCTCTTGATGTACTTTGATGTCATAAACCGATCGCTCTGTGCAGCGCCGGTTCAAGTCGAACAAGCCTATTGTTAATAGTGTTAAAGGTTTTCAATAAAAACTAATGAACTGTAAAGTTTTTTTAGGTTCATCCTGGATAAACTAATGAGACACAAATAGATGCAGAGTCTTTTGCTGTATGTTAAGTCAAATCTTTAGTTAGAAATAAGTCATGTTGTCTGTGCAGTCAATTCTTTGTGGAAGCATCCTAAGGCCTAGATGATGCAGTCGGCGGAGATGTGCTGAGACACCATTTCCCCTTGGCATGATGGGTTTGACCTGGATGAGGAGCCTGGACTGGCTGAGGAACTCTGCAAAACACACAAACATGCTGTATGAAACGGTGCATTTGTACACTTATAAAGCCTGTTGTGCTATGTGACATCACTCGCAGTTTTCACTGAGATGGGCTAACAGAAGGCACAACGCCGCAAGCGGTCATCTGTGGTTGAGGAATTCAAAGTTGCAAAGTGCAGAGTCGTAATGGCATACAGAGACTCACAGGATGAACAAGTCAGACATGCAGGCATCATTACAAGATCAGGTCGCAAGAAATACAGATTTTATCAAAGCAGATTCACAGTGATAACATGAAAATAATACAACACACAGATCAATAATTTTGTTGAATATTTAATGTCCCCAACTAAGCAAGCCAAAAGGCAACAGTGGCAAGGAACCAAAACTCCATCAGGTGATTGGATGGAGAAAAAACCTTGGGAGAACCCAGGCTCAGTCGGGGGCCAGTTCTCCTCTGGCCAACTTTCCAAATTTCCAAATTTCCATTTCCATCTGTTTGGAATTCAAAGTAATCACGCCGGTTTGGAGACGAGATGTTGAGGATCAGTGCCGATGGCTGTCGTGTCGATGAGGCCGGCGCTTAAGGATGAGTGGGGATAGGTCCAGGCGCAGGTCCACCATAGAGGGTCCCTCGGGATGAACAGAGAAACTGAAAAAAGAAAGGAAAAAGATTAGTAAAAAAGAAATACAAAAGAAAGGATTAGTTAGAAAGAAAGAAAAAAGAAAGAAAGGTTAGTTAGAAAGAAAGACAAAAGAAAGAAAGGTTAGTAAGAAAGAAATAAAAAAGAAAGAAAGGTTAGTTAGAAAGAAAGAGAGGTTAGTTAGAAAGAAAGACAAAAGAAAGAAAGGTTAGTAAGAAAGAAATAAAAAAGAAAGAAAGGTTAATAAGAAAGAAAGAAAAAAGAAAGAAAGGTTAGTTAGAAAGAAAGACAAAAGAAAGAAAGGTTAGTAAGAAAGAAAGAAAAAAGAAAGAAAGGTTAGTAAGAAAGAAAGACAAAAAAGAGAGATTAGTTAGAAAGAAAGAAAGGTTAGTAAGAAAGAAAGAAAAAAAAGAAAGGTTAGTAAAAAAGAAAGAAAAAAGAAAGAAAGGTTAGTTAGAAAGAAAGACAAAAGAAAGAAAGGTTAGTAAGAAAGAAAGAAAAAAGAAAGAAAGGTTAGTAAGAAAGAAAGAAAGGTTAGTGAGAAAGAAAGACAAAAGAAAGGATTAGTTAGAAAGAAAAAAGAAAGAAAGGTTAGTAAGAAAGAAAAAAGAAAGAAGGATTAGTAAAAAAGAAAGAAAGGTTAGTAAGAAAGAAAGAAAAAAGAAAGAAAGGTTAGTAAGAAAGAAAGGTTAGTGAGAAAGAAAGATTAGTTAGAAAGAAAGAAAGGTTAGTAAGAAAGAAAGAAAAAAGAAAGGATTAGTTAGAAAGAAAAAGAAAGAAAGGTTAGTAAGAAAGAAAAAAGAAAGAAGGATTAGTAAGAAAGAAAGAAAAAGAAAGGTTAGTTAGAAAGAAAGAAAAAAGAAAGAAAGGTTAGTAAGAAAGAAAGAAAAAAGAAAAAAAGGTTAGTAAGAAAGAAAGAAAGGTTAGTAAGAAAGAAAAAGAAAGAAGGATTAGTAAGAAAGAAAGAAAAAAGAAAGGTTAGTAAGAAAGAAAGAAAAAAGAAAAAAAGGTTAGTAAGAAAGAAAGAAAAAAGAAAGAAAGGTTAGTAAGAAAGAAAGAAAAAAGAAAGGATTAGTAAGAAAGAAAAAAGAAAGAAGGATTAGTCAGAAAGAAAGAAAAAAGAAAGAAAGGTTAGTAAGAAAGAAAGAAAGAAAAAAGAAAGAAAGGTTAGTAAGAAAGAAAAAAAGAAAAAAGATTGGCTTCTCTGTTCTTCATCCTCCTGGTATTTGTTGTGAAGTAGTCTTCTGCACCGATCTCCCACTCCTCCATCTCAGACTCTGTGAAAGTGTTCAGAAGAGAGCATTCATCAGGTTTGACCTCAGCTCACGTCAGGTCAATGTTACCATAAAAACAAAACAGTTACTATGACATGAACATTCACTATCAGTCCCCAGTGTTTGACACTCTGCTCATTCGTCATCAAGGTTTGACACTTATCATTTTACTGTCACTTACTTGCATCAAAGCCGCCGCTTCCGAAGCCTTTCAATACTAGCAGACCCATGACTGACCCGGCCAAATCATCCGAATTCAGCCTTCTCCATCCGGTTCCTGCAAACAATACATTTCCAGAGTTTAGTACAACATCACAAGTCATAACCAGTCATCAGTGATCTGTGATCAAAAAGCCAACTCACTTTTCAGATCCAATATGCCAAACTGCGCTAATTTTACGTGCAGGGTTTCTGTGTTGATCAGCATTATTTTCTTGAGTACTTGCTGAAAAACTTGTTTATCCATGCAGCTACGGATTGCAACAAATAATTGGCTCATGAATTTTTCGCTGTCTCTCGAGTCAGGCTCCCTCTGAAAGAGAGAAAACATTTGCTAATTTCAAATCTCGTGATTAAAGAGTGAGGGAAAAGATGAAAGCATAAGCTGTGTTTCCATCACACTGTTTTTGAAGTATCGCATCAGAAACAAGTGATGGAAACAGCAAATGAGAAAAAAATTCCTTAAAGGAGTAGTTCAGTTTAAAAAAACAAACTTATGCTGATAATTTACTCACCCGTCCATGTGTTTCTTTCTTCAGTCGAAAAGAAATTAAGGTTTTTGATGAAAACATTACAGGATTTTCCTCCATATAATGGACTTCAATGGGGTCCAAACGGTTCAAGGTCCAAATGAGAGTTTCAGTGCAGCTTCAAAGGGCTTTAAACGACACTAGACGATGAATAAGGGTGCGCAAATCTTTTTCCAAGTCATTTCGTTCCTTTCGTTCGTTGAATCAACCAAATGACTTGAAAAAAGATTCGTTCATTTTGATGAACGAGTTCGAACAGGAGAGTCACAAACGCTCATCACAGAATTGAGAAAGACGAGCTTTTGAGCTTATAAAACTTAAACTTTGTTATTTATTTATTAAATGAGCGATCGTTTCGCTTGATAAGACCCTTATTCGTCGTCTGGAATCATTTAAAGCCCTTTGAACAGTTTGCAGTTTGCACTGAAACTCTCTTTTGGACTTTGGACCGTTTGGACCCCATTGAAGTCCATTATATGGAGAAAAATCCTTAATTTCTTTTCGACTGAAAAAAAGAAAGACGTGGACATCTTGGATGACATGGGGGTGAGTTAGTTATCAGTAAAAGTTGTTTTTTAAAGTGAACTACTCCTTTAAATCCCTTTAATCCTTTTTTCTTAAAAATGATTCATGAGAATAATGATAATTTATATATTAATAATTTATATTGAACTATTCAAAAGGAAACCTAATCACATCGAGTCATTCTAATCACATCACACTTAAAACAGAACACATAAGGTTATTAAAGGTCGCCTCTACCATTTCAACTCGTCTGTTATTAAAATGGATTCAAATGCTACTTTGTTTGCTTGTGTTACTGATATTGTGACTTGAGTGGCTGTATTTGTTTTCAGCGTGAATGCCGCGAAAAACAAACACAACACATATAAAGTTGGAAAGAGCTTTGCAATTGACTGTACAACTAGATGTGACAAAACAATCGGAGGTCTATTTTAACAGACTGCTATAAGACTCCTGTTTAAACATATAAGGTAATATTGGACCCAGTTTGGCCGTGTAAAAAGCGTGTGCGGTTTCGTACTCTTAAGTACCGTTTCAAGAACCGTTTAAGCACCGGAACCGTTTAAAAAATACCGAGTAGGTACTGGTATCGGATAAAACCTAGTCTCGCGTAGCCAGACCTTCAGACTGACGGCTGAAGGTCTGGAATTCATAGCAGCTTTCTTTGGTCAAGGCCCGCCCATAAGGCCGTTAGACCGACATGTCAAACAACCAATTACAGTTCGTTTCGTTCAGCGTCATGTTTTGGGGCGTGGAAATGTCCCCACAACAACAGACCGGTGTGCAACAAGTCAGTCAGCAGTCACCGGAGGCGCTAACAACGCTCCGTGTTATTAAATTCACCCACGAACTCGCTCATGTCCATCTTATGTCCGCTTTGTCACACGAATGTAAGTTACGTCCCCGCCCCAGTGCGCTCACGCCTACTAAATAAACGCCTCACCTCCGGCGCCGCGCACTCGCTACATTCCCTTTAGCCTTTAGCACATCTAGTGGATGCATAACGCAAACCCAGTCAAACGTTTGACTCTGCAGTATCTTATGTGCCTTATAATCCAGTGTGCGCGACCTATATATGAATACTGAATCGGCCAGCTGCGATGTCAGCGTCTGTCTCATGTTTGTCCACAAACGCAGCTGATATACCCTTCGCAATTAAGTACTTCACTTGATCTTCCATAATAGATTGGAGGGGACATACAACTACGTTTAGCTGATCTTGAGAAATGCTCATTGTCACTCACATAGGCCACTCATATAAACACAACAGTTTTTCTTCCGCAATCACATCTGCGCTTTGTTTCCCGGCGGACCGAAAATAAACGCGACACTGACGCCCCCCGGAAATCCGATAAAATTCAACCAATCAGATGACGACTTCGACATTCCTGAAGTGTTTCCAGTTAAGTGTACCATATGCATCAGACGTTTAGCCAACGTTCCGTGGGCGTGACGTCTGAGGCTGAGACTAGATAAAACCCAACCGATACCCAACACTACTAGAGAAGTTCATGAAGAATAAAGTCTTGTCAACTTACCACCAATGTTTCTGAAGAGTCTGAAGAAGAGCCTGAGGAACTATGAAGAAAAGTCTGAAGAAGAGCCTGAAGTACAGCATGAAGAACAGCATGAAGAACAGCATGAAGAACAGCATGAAGAACAGCATGAAGAACAGCATGAAGAACAGCATGAAGAACAGCATGAAGATTCAGAAGACCCGTGCCTCTCAAAAAAATTGATGGTCACCTAAAAAATAAAGATAGTTTTTGCCAACGTAAGTTAAACTTGTACATGATCATCTACAGTCTTTTTAAACACTTTTGGATCAGAACTGTTAACCCTGATGTTTATGGCAGGACTCAAAGTTCACAGAAGGAAACAAGAGACAAAATGTTTGGTTAAAGAGAAAGAGCAACATACTTTCAGGCCGTCCGATCTTCTAACTCCTTCATAGACATGATCACCATATTCCAGTTTCTTTCCCACTTTGTAAAGCGACTGGAAGTGTTCAAGCTCCGGTGTCGGTTTAGCGCCATGCAAAAACGAGGGCCCTGAAAAACACACAGAAACAGAGTTAACAAACAGCACGAGACTGAACGCACCTGTGCAGATCAGGAGCCAGTATGACTGGAGATTACAAACAAAACCAGAACAACACATAACTTACATTTTACAATGCAGGGACTGTAACTAGTTATAAATACAGTAATCATTACTTTATTTAGGCAGAGCTTGTTTCCAAGCTCATTAATGTTAACGTTAGCGGTCTAGTGTTAATTTCGTTAACGAAAACTAAACGAAAATATTTTCGTCAACGCACATTTTTCACCGAACGAAAACTAGACGAGACGAGACTAAAATCCCCACTAATAAACAATAACTGGGAGTAAATCAGAAATAATTTTCGTAGACTAATAAAGACGAGACGAAAATGCAGTTCGGTAAATAAAGACTGGGCTAAAATCTATGGACATTTTAGTTCACGAACAAAGACGTGACGAAAATTACATATTATTATATGATATGGTTTTGTCAAATACTGTCTCCTCCTCCGCCTCCTCCTCGTCAGCTCTTCCGCCACACACCCACTTTCAAACCTGGAGCGGCATTTAATAAAAAAAAAAAAAACCTGGAGCGGGCGGGCACAGTCAGAGTAGCCTACACAACACACGGAGCAGACAGGAGCTGGATTCACGGTGAGGCGGCGGCGACAGGTTAAAAGTAAAACATGCTTTGCACGGGGCTCGTGAGAAAGAAGAGACGTGATATATGGACACATTTTGTTACAATGATAAACTAACTAATGATGGCTAACTTTCATAGCATTTAGTATCCAGGCTGGCTATGTTACGTTAGCTTCTTAGCACGTAGCGACCGTAGCCACTTGTTGATAGAATTGTATGTGAAGTTAAATTTATGCTAACTTAGATATGTTATACTGGCCGGGCAACTATAGTTTCAGTTAAATTTGATTAAAGCAGACAGACGCTTTAAAAAGATTTCATACGTTCTAGCAAGCTATGCCTTGTTTCACCTTAAATACTGTACCTTTATATACCATGTGAACTAGCTGGCAGGAAAGCACTTTTGTTGTATCAGTTGGAGTTTTTTTTTTTTTTTTTTTTTTCACAACATTGACCTCAAATCTATTTATTTTTTTATTCTATGTGAACTAGCTTTAAACAGCCAGCACTTGTGTTAAGTTCATAATACACTTTATTTTATTTATTTGTTTCCTTTGTCAGGTGTATTTTATTTGTTTTAATGCAAGCATTTGTGTTTGTGTCTTTGAACCTTAACAATGTTCAAAATAAATATGCAAATATTGTCAGAACATCTTCCATGTCTGCATGTGTTCCTTAAAATTGTGTTTTTTTATCAAAAAGATGAGAGAAAATGTTGAAATGTGAAATAATTTTAGGAAATGTTTAATATTATCTGCTGACAACAAAGTAAAAGGTTAAAATGATGTCCTGACTAAAACTACACTCTAAAAAACGATTCGTTGGCCGAACAACCATTACTTATAAAAGTAATTGGATCAAACATAAAAAATTAAGTATTCATAACTTTTCAACGTTTACTTAACATATATAGTGTGTGTAACTCAAAAATATAAGTTACTAGGTGCACTTAAATGTATGTATAAATAAAATGAAAAATACATAAGGCATGTCAACTTGCGTCAAAATTAAGTAAATCTAGCATATCATTTTAAGTACTATATGAGCCACGTGATATGCAATTTCCCGTGATGCCTATCCAGACAAAAATTTTAAGCCATTTTATTTCACAGCATGTGAAGACGTTGAGAAGAGGTAAGCTTATTTTTTGTACTTAGGCCTACACATGATCATTTATTGCATTTTTGGTCAAGAAATTTACTTTTAACTGAATTTCAGAATTGCTACAAATTTTGCATCAACAATTAGAAACGTGTTACTTACGAATGTAAACGTTTGTAGTCTACATGTAAATGAATGAAATAAGTGTTTTGCACGCGAGTATTTGAAGAGTATATTGTGTTTTTTTCAAAATATATGACCATGATGTTTGCTTATGCATTAATGGTGTGTTCACACAGAACGTGAATTTAATTATTTGCGATAGCAGATTACATTCATAGTCAATGCAAAGACGCGAAGACGCATCATTCGCGCCGGGCGTCGCGAATTGGGTGACTCGTTTGCCGCGAACGTCTTCCTCGGTAGAAAAATTTGAACTTGAGCGGGCTGCGGAAGATTCAAGCATCTAACTAGACGCGACGTGTTTGACGCGTTCGGTGTGACCAATTCGGACGGCGCTTTCTCCCCCACGGATAGCCTAGATTATAGGCCTACTTTATTAGCGAGTTGTTTTGGATAAAACAAATGTACCTTGCATATTTACAAATTCCCATATTCTCTATCTATACATGGATCGCGGGGAAGGGGGCTTTGGGTGCGGGTTAGTAGCTACTTTTGGTAACGTTAACATAAATATTACATTCAAAAACACATTGCCTACAGCTCCGTGTGCACAATTTATCATTAAATAATGGCAATCTTGATTCTAGCACAATATTATTTTTAAATGACAGCGACAATTCAGTAAATTAAACCTTCAAAATTATTATCAAAATAAGTAAATACCCTTTAAACAAAAGTTTAGCTTCAAATAAAGATAGATCTTTACTGTTTTCCAGTAGTTGTTTTTGAAGAGATTCGTTCAAAACCTCTGGACAAAAGTCATTAATTAACTTCTATTTTGTTTAAATTAATAGATATTAATAGACTAATTTTTATATTTATAGGCATTTAATAATGGACTAATTTGTTACATTTAATTGTTTTTTATTGATTTTTGAAAAAAATAAATATATAGGCCTATATATCTTCTGCCCACCAAGCCTTCATTTCTTTGATCCAAGAAAAAACTGTAATATTGTGACTATTATTATTATTATTTTAACAACTATTTTCTATTTTAATATATTTTAAGATGCAATTTAAAAGTTTTGGGTAAAAAATAAATAATAAAGTGAAATGCTTTATTGTGTGTGATTTGCATGTTTAATTTATTTTAAGACATAAGCTGAAGATCTAAAATAAGTTAAAATGGTTGGTTCAACTGATTTAATTGTCTTATTTTATATATATAAATGAGCTTAAATGTTAAGTAAACAGAACTAAGATTTGTTTTGATCTCACATGGCCTGCACTGTGTTGGATTTACTTAAAAGATATATGCACCATTTTTGCGTCATACTTTTTAAGTAATCCGTAATCATTTAAAGGAACACTCCGACTTTTTGGGACTTTAGCCTATTCACCTTACCCCCCAGAGTTAGATAAGTCCATACATACCTTTTTCATCTCCGTGCGTGCTATAAGTCTGTTTGACGCACCCACCGCTAGCCTAGCTTAGCACAAAGACTCGATGTGAATGGTTGCAGCTTTCATACTGATCCAAATGAGTGGCAAAATAACGCAAACGTTTTCCTATTTACATGTTGTGATTTGTATAGTCACATAATGTACAAATAACAAAGTCAAATGAGACACAGACATCTTTTAACCGTATAAAACCTGGGAACTATTCTCTGAAGGCGAAGCACTGCTACTTTGACGGCGTAATAACCGCATCACCGGAGACACGCCGTGGTGAGGAGCGGAGAGTTCGCTCAGTGTTTGGGTAATAGAGTCAGCAATTTATAAATAGTAAAAGCGTAGTTTAGAGTCATGGGTTTTCGCTCTATTGTAAATAGCTGCGACAGTAAACAGGGGAGGTAATACCATGTTTCACAGAATTCCAACTAAAAACGCTGACTGGATGAAGAAATGGCTAACTTACTCTGGATATTTATCCAAACACACCTAAGATTATCAAGGGACATTATGTTTGCTCGGTACATTTCAATGAGGACGACTATTTTGAAAAAATGGAATTTGCCACACGGACCATAATGTGCTGAAGGATACGGCCATCCCATCGATAGCACAGACAGGACAAGTATCACCTGCGGCTGAGGTAAGTGTTCCGTTATGTTTTTAGATGACCTACTGTAACAGTGCCTTTAGCCAGATCTAATGTAACGTTAGTGACACTATTATATGATTAGGGTATGAATATGTTTTTATCTTGATGCGGTGCGGACGCGCTTGGAAAAAAACGAGCGCGTTTACCGCGTTGAACTTGCACCTGCGCGCGGCGCGCCTAGTAGCCTAAATTTGAAATAACCATGGAAATAACGAACTTGAGCGTGCAAAAGGGTACGATAGGCTGTGAGTTCATTGTGCAAAAACAATTTGTGCTATTACTTTCCCCTTATTCTATCCTATAGTAATGCAATACTGTATATTATATAGGCTACTGTTGAATACATTTGGTTCATTTGGTTAAATTGCATTTAAAATATATTGATTCCTGTAATAATAATTATTTATTCATGTGATATTTATAAATCTGGGTGCGTTTTTGGTTGGAAATCAATGAAAAATGGTACTGTATTACCTGGTCTCCCCTGTTTATTGTCACAGCTCATACAATAAAGCAAACACCCATGATAAACTATGCTTTTCTATCTAACGTTAGTAATTGCTGACTCTTTATTCCAACGCTGAGCGAAGCGAACTCTCTGCTCCTCGTCACGGTGCGTCTCAGGTGATTGTTATCACTCTGCCCAAGTAGCAGTGCTTCCCCTTCAGAAAATATAGTATTTATACGGTCAAAAGATGTCTGTGTCTCATATGGCCTTGATATTTGCACACTCTGTGACTATACAAACCACAACATGTAAATAGGAAAACGTTTGCGTTATTTTGTCACTCATTTGGATTAGTATAAAAGCTGCAACCATTCACATCCAGTCTTTGTGCTAAGCTAGGCTAGCGGTGGGTGCGTCAAACAGACTTATAGCACGCACGGAGATGAAAAAGGTATGTATGGACTTATCTAACTCTGGGGGGTAAGGTGAATAGGCTAAAGTCCCAAAAAGTCGGAGTGTTCCTTTAATTAAGTAAATTTTTAACTTGGAATAATTTTACATAAAATAAACTTAAATATTTTAGTTCACGTGACATTCTTTACTTAAAAATATATGTAACGTGATGCATACATTTTTAAGTAAAGAATGTTGCGTGAACTCAAATAATTAAGTACATATAACAAAGATTATCTTGTTAATTTTAAGTAAAATTATTCCAAGTTGGGATTACTTAAAAAGTATGATGCAAAAATGGTGCATATATATTTTAAGTAAATCCAACACATCATTTTTTAGAGTGTAGACTAAAATGTTGACAGTTTTTTTTGACTAAAACTAAACGAATAAAATTATGTTTTCTTGGACTAAAATAAAGACTAAAATGCTCGACTTATAGTCGACTAAAACTAGACTAAATAAAAATGGGATGATGTCGACTAAATGTGATAAAAACTAACAAGCGATGCTGAAACTGGACTAAAACTGAAACTAAATTTAAAAATGGCTGGTAAAATTAACACTATAGCGGTCTTCCAACTGATGATAGTGGCATTAGCTAGCTTTGTGGTTAGCTAGTCTACGATGATAGCAATAGATAACGTCATACTGCAAATTGTAAAACATACATTTTCAATATAACAGGCCAAGGAAAGATGATTTCGTCCGTTTTTATTTTATTTTTGAAATATTAATTTATCGGCCATTATAACTGCCCGATACCGATAGTTTTGGAAAATGCCTAATTTCGGTCTGGCTCTAATTGTTTGATGCAATATTGTTTTATTTGATATTATCTAAATGTGAATTTGAATTTTATATTGGTTTATTTATTATTACTTTGTTACTTGTATTTATATTGTTTACACATATAAGGTAATATTGTGTCCAGTTACTAGCTCTCGGACACATTGCATATAAGAGTTCGTTACAGCAGCCCAACGAGAACGAGAAACATTTGTCAACTATTATTGAGCATTGCAATAACAACATGACATCATGACTTTTGCGTAAACATATACGCCACTTTCGAGTCAGGTGGCGTGTCATCTCTACGCATTTTGAGCTATCCGCGTGTATGTCTACGCCATTAACGTCCGCGTCATTCTGCGTGTCTGAACACGCAGTCAAATCTCCAGTCATAAATGCCATTAACCCCAGTGACGGTTAGGTTTAGGGGCGGGGTTGAGGTAAGTCATATATTTATATAACGTTAAGTCAACGGCGTTCATAAACACGCTGAAAGGCGATTATGCGTCTTGATAGCACGCCAAAAATGGAAATACGAATTGGCGTGTCATACACACGCTACTTCATGAGATCAGTCTGGCAATAAGCACACCTAAAATTACTGTTGTTCACTTTTACTTGTTTGCAGGCTACTTTAAAAGGCTGTTCATACATTACAACTAGAGACTCACCATCTGACGACTCGGACTCGTAAAGCATGTTGTTAAACCAGTCATGATCTAAAATGTTCTGTAAGATGATCCCTGGCTCTCGGTCACGAAGACTCTGAAGTAGATCCTGGTATTCTAGAAAGGTTTTCAGAAGAAAGCTGATTAGTCCTGTTTTCTTTACGTAAGGTAATGTCACCATCAAAAAATTCACACGGTTTCACACTGCACACTTCATTTCATTCTTGTTTTTAGTCTCACCTTTGGACAACACCACTTTTCTACAACTAAACCAACGTTTCAAACCACCTTTTCCTTTGACCATCCCCTTCAGCACTTTGTACAAGTCTTCAGATGCTGCTATTACAGCGCGATATGCCCTCTCTGTTCTTGATGTAGGTTTGAATTTTCCTGTAAGCAAAGTTTTCAGTTGAAGTTTTCATTTCCATATCCTGTGCATAATAAATCAGTGCATTGTGCTCAAAAAGCAAACTCACGACTTTCGCTGATGGTCAGTGCTCTGCCAAAGCCGATGAACTTGATCTGCATGGTGTATGGGATGATGAGTACGTTTCTCAGGCTTATGTCATTGTGGTAAACACCCCATTTGCTGAAGTCCTTTATAGCAACGATGATTTTCTGCATGATCTCTTTAGCTGGTGATTCGGTCAGACGGCCTCCGCATCGCTTGATGAAATCACTCAAGGTCATGCTGGTTTGTGGATACTCCATAATCAAGATGTTGCGATCTTCCACGTCAAACCAGTCCTGTAACTTTACGACATGGTCGCTCTGTTCCAGCATCTGCATTATAAATGCCTCTTTACACACAGGTTTGGAATGGCCAGCCTAAAAGAAGAACGTGACAAAAGGTTAGTTGACTCTGAACCTCAAGTGTCCTTACTAAAGAGTGAAGGAAATACAAGAAGAAAACAATGAACTTTACATGCACTTTTCAACTGATGCACTTTTCAATGCTTTGATTGTAAATGGAACTGCTTTTATAGTGCGCTTTCTATTTGTTGGTTATAAATCCGATATATCGGACGACATTTTTTATTTATTTATTTTTTTTCAGAAACGCGCAACAAAACATTTCCAAACAGATTTCCCGAACATTAGTTATTTGTGGTTATTTATGAGTTTTAACTAAAATAATATGATAATGCATTTTAAAAAGAACAGAACAGACTGATGATAGTGGCATTAGCTAGCTTTGTGGTTTGCTAGTCTATGATGAGCCAAAATTTAGCAATGGATAATGTCGTACTGCGAATCGTAAAACATACATGTTCAATATAACAGGCCGAGGAGAGATGATACGTCTCATTGCTATAGCTGTCACGCGCTATTAAAGAAATACTTCAGTCACATTGTCAAAAGTTAAAAGGACAGTCAGTCAACTACACTTTAACAACGTAACGTAATTATTATTAGCTAATATCGCTTCACTCTCGGCTTAAACTGGACATGATAATCACAAATTTTGTCATGCTTATTTGAGTTCTTTTAATTGTTATTCAAGCAATGTATGTCTCGTTGCCAACAGGGACGGTGTAGAGTGCCCTCTGGTGGACAAACTATACAACTCCAACACTCATGACATGGTTCAAGCGCGTCTTTCGTCCGTTTTTATTTTATTTTTTAAATATTAATTTATCGGCCATCATAACTGTCGATACCGATAGTTTGGAAAATGCCTAATATCGGCCGGCCGATAAATCGGTCTGGCTCTAGTCAGAATGTTTATTTTTATACCACAACCTTCTAAGTGCTTCCAATATATTTCATAATATCGTTTCCATTCCTAAATCCAAACAACGTCAAACTTGGCACTGCACTTACTCGTGCCCGTCAAGTTTGAAACCCATCGGACTAACGGTTCGAGAGATATGCAAATAACGAGCCCGTTCTCATCCCAAAGCGCCATATAAGACGCTTTTGCAACGTGAAATGAGACGCAGATATATTTGGGCAGAAGGCGCCCCCTAGTGGTCTAACCCTTACCCTACACCATACCTAAACTTAACCATTAACCGAAGCGTCTCATTAGACGTTAAAGGGTGCCATGTGCGTTGGATATTTACGCTTTTGCAAAAGCGTCCTATATGGCGCTTTGGGATGAGAACGCGTTGAAATAACAGACACACGGAAACACACATACAGACGGACGGCCCATTTTCATGAGGAATAAAATCGTGTCAACTTACCAGTTCAATGGAGTTATCAGACTCGCGCTTCTTGACAAATTTGATGACCACCTAAAAAATAAAAGACAATGTTAGCAAGTGTAAGTGAACTGAACCATTTTTGTTTGTTTAAATCTTTATTAAAACATGCTTTGATCAAAACTGTAAGTGTCTGGACTCGAAAGACAGAAGGAAACAAGAGGCAGAAAGTTTGGTGTATCCAGAAAGAGCAAACATACTGGTGTGCCGTCTGATCTTCGAATTCCTTCACGGATAGTGCCATCGGATCCCCACTTCAGTTTCTTTCCCACTTCATAAAGAGAGTCAAAGGTTCCTGAAAAACAAACACAACAGCATGAGACTGAACTGCTTGTGACTAAACACACATTAAAACATAGTGATAATCTGCATTCTCATGTATGGAGGTGTGCTGAACGCTCTGAGCGCAAACTCATGATATTTACTAACTAGAACGTGGAAGTAGTTGTGCAAGTCGTCCATTGACGTGGTGCATGTAAACCATATTATTTGTATTGTCTTGTAAAAATAATGCAGTTTCTTTAATTGATTCTTTTGTCATTTAAATTAATTATTCTAATGCTACCAATTAAACTACTGTGCTAACGGCAATCTCATCGTTTTGATTTCAGCAAATCAGTTTGAGCGAATGCAGTGATTAATAATCATGAATATTGTTATTAGTAGCAGAATTCGTAGTTGTACTAGTATTATTTTCTTATCAGTATTATTGTTAGTTGTTTTTTTTTTACAGAAACACTGACGACAATGTCTTAAGCAACACCAGTCCTAATTCCAGTTAAAACCAGTCACCCAGTAATCGTGTCCCACTGTTATTTCTGCATACATTTGAGTATTGATTTGTATTAATGTTACCTGACGGGTTGTTCGGTGTAGACGTATCTGTTGGGCTGTTGGGTTTTCCCTCAGATAACACAGCAGTGCTGGTCGATGGTTGAGCACAACTGTCGTCCATGTCCTCAGGAAAATACTCGTATGCATCAAAGAACATGTCGCTGCTGTCGTCCATGTCCTTGTGTAACGTTGCATGCATGATATTTACTTTCTGCATGTTGCCTAAGGAAAAAGTAAAACTAACATTAGAAACATCAGGACATGAATCAGACAGGTAATAACTAGAAAGTGGGGATGTCCCAATACCACTTTTTCACTTCCGATACCGATATCGATGGCTTTTGCCGATACCGATATCAATCCGATATTTTAATTTTATTCTTAAACTAATAAAAAATATAGCACTTTTCTCAATTAGCCACCTAAAATATACTTCCAGTATATAGTCCACAACAACAGTTGATTATGAAAGATTGCCACCCTTTATTCAAACACTACAAAAAAAATATAAAAAATAAACATAAATTAGGACTGCCAAACGATTAATCGCATCCAAAATAAAAGTTTGTGTTTACATAATATATGTGGGTGCACTGTGTATAATTATTTTATATATATAAATACACACACATACTTGTATATATTTAAGAAAAAAAGTATTATTTAATTACATATACAGTATATGAAAATATTTCTTAAATATACAAGCATGTGTGTGTGTTTATATATATAAAATAATTATACACAGTGCACCCACATATATTATGTAAACACAAACTTTTATTTTGCATGCGATTAATCGCGATTAATCGTTTGACAGCCCTAATATAAATAAAAGAAAATACAAGTACTGCAGTACTTAAAGCTAGCTAGCTACCAACAGGTTTAAAGTTAAAACAATTTAAACAGCAGCATTCTACATTGTAAATACAGATTGTTTTTTTTTTAAATCAAGTAGAATTTCTAGAACTGTGTGTTGAAATAATTATCACGCTTGTGTGTTAAACACAATCTACTTAATACAGACAGCTTCATAAACAACAAATCCCCAAAATATATGATCATAATCTAAGACAAAAATGCTATTATAAACTAGATAAGTGAATAATACACATTGCTCTTTGTCTTGTTGTAAAATACATTCATGAAAAACAAGATAACAACCAAATCAAAAAGATCGTTATTTTAGATATAGCCAAGGCTATAAAATTAATTGATGTTGTTTTACCCAAGACAACATAAAAGGTCAAAATCAATTTAAACGTATTGGGAAAAAATGATTTCTGTCACTGATGTGAACTGACCCCTGCACAGACGGAGTATGATGAAGATTATGAACAACTTTAAGTTTAAGAGTGTCTGTCCACAGCAGTCCTAAACATGCCAGGATAACTTTACATGCACAAAAACACACTCAGCTAAATATTTCCACATATCCTTGTTGTGTAACCATGGTTACGGTTTACCACAACAATCGACGATAAACCATAATGGTTAGTAAAACCACGGTTAATTGTGTAAGTTAATGGTTTTACTGCAAATACTGTGGTAAACTAATGGTTAATCAGCGCAGTGGTCACATCTTCCTCATTTTATTAAAGTTTTATACAGTATATAAATGGGAAAGTCGATGGATGACGGCCGACGGCTCACTGGCGCCATTTTGTGCACCACTGAGAGCTTGATTTAAAAACACTCGCCAATTTCAGATCGCCTCTTATTTAACAAAAACAACTAAATTAATGTTCTAGAGATAGCTGGATATGTTTTATTTATTTGTATTGGTACATCCGTGCCGCGAAATGTTTCAAAAGTGGTCTCATTACAAGTCCTACCATTAATGTGGGATTGTGTGTCAGTTCTGAAGTGTATAATTAACTCAGTAACGTTAGTACCTGTCGTGTCCTCGAACAAGCTTTCCTGCAGGTACTCTGTAACGTTAGCTACGATCTCTGCCTGTTGTTTAGCTGCGTTTGCACACTTCTAGTGTAACTAGAAGTGAACTAATTAACGTTACTGATCACCTGAGCTGAAGAATCCGTCGAAGAAACTCAATGAATGTTGTATATATATATATATTGACACCGTATCAATATTCTGAAATCCAATGAGCTGTGTAAACACTATCTGGCTGTTGTTAATAGCAGTAAACTGCGTTAATAATAACAGTCAGTGAAACTAGAGTCTGTCAGATAACTGTTGTTGAACAACTCACTGTGACGTCAAAATGGAACGCGCGAAATGGAACCTGTGAGACTTTCAATCATCTTCAGAGCACAAATGAAGATATTTTAAACAAAATCTGACTCGATTTAATGAACAGATTTAATTTTTTTTTTATTCTCTGTTGTAAAACAAATAAACCATCAATCAGTTAAAATGGATTGTATTGTTTGTATGGCCAAGAACTCACTTTTTTTGTTCATTAATCAGAATTTATTCAGTGTTACACACACTTTTTACACACACAGCAAATACATTTACCAATGATTTAAGCATAAGGTGTTTTCAAGTCACGAGTACAGAAAACTGAAGCATCAATTCATAAATTAAACAATATAAATCAATGAATAAATAATGTAACCAATGATTAAAATTGTTGATTCTTTTTATTGAAAAAGTAAGTGTTCTCATCATTATGAATGATTTTATCACTTATTGGTTATACACGCTCCATAATTTGGCATGGAGAATTACTCGGTGTTCTACTGTATGTTATGTAATGTATGTATATACAGTGAATGATTTTGAAGAAAAGTAACCTTTTACTGTATGTGGCATACCGATGACGATAATTTAGTTCAATCAAACACATGTAAGGAATGATACAGAATTGTGTTTTCCAAACGTTCTGTTTTGGCAGTGGGGACAGTGATTTTAAAAGTGAAACTTAATTTAAAAAAAAAACTATAAAAACATTAAAAAAAAAACTAATAAAAATGACCATTAACACACAATAAAATTACAAAAACTTTAAAATTAAAATTAAACTATGAAATTAAAATGTAAATTATGAAAGTCCCCCTGTAGTAAATGATTGTATCCCTTAAAAACTCATCCTTGATATTTAATTATTTGCTTCTGTTGAAGCGGTCAGCCCACATCATTTCTACTTAGTTTAAAACAATTATTATTTTTTTAATTTAATCTATGTTGTAATAAGATGCGCAATATATCGGGAGACCTAATTTTGACCACATTGAGTTTTGTTTGGTATAAAGCCTTTCTTTAAAGTGAATTAAATTTATCTTAATTTTAATCTATGTTTCATCAACCAGTTACCTGGATTTAATAAATAAGAAGCAAATATAGGCTATAGCAGACAATATAATCAGGACATGGACGCGCCGGCGCAATATAACTTGCATTGCTCGTGAACTGGAGCTCGTCTCATAAATGAACCGAAACTCAGAAATATATAGAAAGCTTGAAATGTCTACGTTTAAACAACATCGAACAACAATTCAAAACGAAAAGAAACAGAGATAACTCTCTCTTATAGCCTCCATATGAAGTGCATTAGCCTATAGGCGCGTTCACAATACAGCGAAGTGGCGAGTCAGAATCGTCATCAGTCAAGAATGACACAAAAAACACTAGTTTATTAATAAACGATTAAAATGTCTAAATTTGACACATTCGTTACTTTTGCCGGTTCTTTGTGGCAAGTTTTCTGAGTCGTTAACTAATCGAATATCATGACTTCCTATTTTGTACCGCAGGCAATTTATGGTTGTTCAATAAAGTTCTTGGTGAAAAAAAAAAGAAGCAATATTGTGCCAAATATTATTGTATAGCGCCTAGTATTTAATTTACTGTATATATTAGCCTACAGCTCGCAAGGTTTTATGCGCATGCTCTAAAGGCCATTGCACACCGAGTACAAAATTTTCGTATGCGTTTTTTCGTGTTTGTCAGCCTTAAAATTCGTTACGCACAGAAACCTTCCACACTGAGTCCGATGCGTATTTATTAAACCAATTGCGGGGAAAAACGCAAAAATACAAAACGTATACGCACACGCTTGTCAAAAAACCTGGCTGTGGATGCGAAAAACGCAGAAAATCGAACCCGATCCGAATGTTTTTTTTTGACGGACGAAAGTTTCGGAGGCGGTGTGCAAGCGTGATTGACATAACATGAGGTCGAATTTTTTTTTTAACGTGCGAAAATTTCGGATGCGAATTTCGGCCTCAGTGTGCAATGGTGTCTTCTTCTCTCATTTTTTTTTGTGTATCTCTATGGCAGAATTACAGCGCCACATACTGGTCTGGGATGTATACTACATCATTTTGAGTTGGTTTCAGTGGTTTAGTGTGTAGGTGTACGCAGATATTTTGAGACGCTGCCATGTTTACAGACTTTTTTTAGAACGAGGCGGAAAAAAAACATCGGATAGGGAAAGCTTTGGCTTCGTGTATCATGGTAAAACTAAATTAATTTGCTAAATAGTTTTTCTTTTTTTATAGGCCTATTTAAGTTAATTATAATATGACAGAAATAATAGGGCATAGTGGTAGAGTGCAATTGCTGAGTCTCAGCGGCTAAAATATTGCGTTCCGATGCAGGGTGGTGTGTGTGTGCTAACCAGAGGTGAGGGGGCACAGTGACCGGTGGCCGGGCCAGGCCCCCTGGAGCCCCCTCGTGGCGCGACCCTGTACTCATCAAAGCTGGTCGGCTTGGTTCATGGCTTTTAAGACTTCTTTTTGACTGGAAAAATTACCAATTTTACATTTAGATATGTGATTGGGGATTTATAACGGGTTTGTGTGTAACTGCGGGTGCTTTAAAATATTTAAAACGCGATTTGATGAATGTCAGTCTCTTCAAGCAGAATCGAGAGGCTTCTGGCTCATTCGCTGATGCCTCCGTGTTGCCAGGGGCAACAACAGTTATTTTTCCGCTCCAAATCGCCTTTATTCCCACCACCATCGTCTCATTGGACGCTTCCGCTGTCCGTCTGATGAGTTATCGACCTGTGATTGGCTATTGCAAATGTCAATCAGAAACAACCAGATTCTATTGGCTGAATCCCATGGACGCGAGAGATCAGCGGTGGCTCATGCGCGTACAGGCAACAAGTGGATTTAGTGATTTCGAGTATTTTTGTGTCTCACATCACATTATGAAGATAAATAAATGTATTTAGACGCACATACAGTTTAAACCGTGTCTAATGTGCATTAAATAAGTAGAAAGGAGCCGTTAAGTGGCGTTTGGGATCTGATGGCAGCGTTTTACGGGTTTAAACTGTTAACCTAGTTTGCGCAGTTTTGATATCATGCGCTCGCGATTGTGTCTCGCGCTATTGTGAGTGCGCGCGACCGCTATTTTATTATAGGTGTACGACAGAAATATTAATATAGATGAGCTCACGATGTCTGACTCTGGATCAGAGGAGGATATAGCGACACTCACAGCTGAGGACAGAGGCTCAACAGAGTCCGTCAGGAAGGTACGTAACGTTAGACTCACTGCAGTAACGTTACAAGTAAATAAAAACATATGTAGATGTGTTATTTAAATCTAAAAGTTATATATATATATATATATATATATATACACACACACACTTTTTTCGTTAACTAACTTACATGAGGCATAGAGAACAGAAGTGTAAAGATATATAATAAATATATGATATCATAAGGTAAATTTAAAGTGACCGTGGTGTGTGTGTGTGTGTGTGAGAGAGAGAGTGTGTGTCCTGGTAAACCCTACATTATGTCCCCACAAAGATGGCAATATCTGAAATCCTTGTCTTTGTGGGGACATCTTTTGGTCCCAATGAGGAAAACAGCTTATAAATCACACTATCACTTAAGTTAGTGTTTTATGAAACTGTAAATATGCAGAAAGTTTTCTGTAATGGACAGGTTTAGGAGTAGGGTTAGTGTAGGAGGAGAGAATACAGTTTGTACTGTATAAAAACCATTATGTGCATGGAAAGTCCCCATGAAAACAAACACGTGTGTGTGTGTGTTTTAGGGATGTGACCCTCTTGTATCAACCCAGCGCAGCAAACTGCAGCAGCGGAGAGCTAAACTCAACCAGAAGATCAACAGAGAACTTCGTCTGAGGTCCGGCGCTGAAAATCTCTATAGGTACCACCAGTATATCTGCTAATATTAATATTTACCATAATAACATACGCTATGAACACCACCGCCACCACCCAGAACTAACAGGAAGTGACACGCCTCTCTGTTGATGTTCTGTTCAGCATTCTGATGTGGATTTATTCTTCCATCACAGTCATTTAATATTACAGTAATAGTTGCACGATAAATTGCACCACATACTGCATTATAAATGGTGTAGCAGAATCTCTACAGGTTCATATATTTAAACCGTCACACGACACACACTATTTCCCTTTGTTAATGTGATTTGCCAATCATGTTTTCCCAGGGCCAGCAGTAATCAGAAGGTGAAGGAGACTGTGGCGCTAGAACTGAGTTTTGTGAACTCGAACCTGCAGCTTCTCAAAGAAGAACTAGAGGAACTGAACAGCAGTATGAACATCTACCAGACCGAGAGGTTGGTCACGCATCATGCAACTTTCACCGTCTTTGTGAATCTGCACTCAGTTTCTTTCAACATGGTTTACTTAAAGGAGTCGTTCACTTTAAAAAAACTTTTGCTGATAATTTACTCACCCCCGTGTCATCGAAGATGTCCACGTCTTTCTTTCTTCAGTCGAAAAGAAATTAAGGTTTTTGATGAAAACATTCCAGGATTTTCTCCATATAATGGACTTCAATGGGGTCCAAACGGTTCAAGGTCCAAAAGACAGTTTCAGTGCAAACTGCAAACTGTTCAAAGGGCTTTAAACGATTCCAGACGATGAATAAGGGTCTTATCAAGCGAAACGATCGCTCATTTAATAAATAAATAACAAAGTTTAAGTTTTATAAGCTCAAATGCTCGCCTTGCTCTGTTCTGAGATGCGCGTTCGTGACTCTCCTGTTCGAACTCGTTCATCAAAATGAACGAATCTTTTCCCGAATCAATTCGTTTATTTCGTTCGTTGAATGAACCAAATGACACGAAAAAAGATTTGTTAATTTTGATGAACGAGTTCAAACAGGAGAGTCACAAACGTGCGTCACAGAACAGAGCAAGGCGACCATTTGAGCTTATAAAAATTAAACTTTGTTATTTATTTTTTAAATGAGCACTCGTTTCCCTTGATAAGACCCTTATTCATCGTCTGGAATCGTTTAAAGCTCTTTGAACAGTTTGCAGTTTGCACTGAAACTGTCTTTTGGACCTTGAACCGTTTGGTCCCCATTGAAGTCCATTATATGGAGAAAAATCCTGGAATGTTTACATCAAAAACCTTAATTTCTTTTCGACTGAAGAAAAATGACACGGACATCTTGGATGACATGGGGGTGAGTAAATTATCAGCAAAAGTTTTTAAAAAGTCATTGCATTTCTACAATGATTAACAGTCATCAGGTTATAAGTGTGCAGAACATTTGCAGTTTGTCATTTACTTGCAGTAATAAAATACATGCATCAAACATTTAAAAAAATTAATCATCCTTCTGTTATAGTGAGACAGTCAATGTTCCCATGATTCCACTGGGGTTGAAAGAGACTAAAGAGATCGACATGACTGCACCTCTTCAGGTGAGATCAACACTCATGTGGTAGCTTACATGCCTTACTGAATTTATTCAGTGTTTAAACTCTTTCTCTTCTGTTTCATCAGGATTTCATCAGTGAACACTACGGGGAGGATGCGTCTCTGTACCTGAACGAGATCCAGGTGTTCATGGAACTTAGACAGGTCAGTTAAAGTCAACATAAAACACCGATCGCATCACAACATGGGCTGTCGTGATTCCTTGATTAAATTCAAGTACTGTATTTTCTGGACTATAAGTCACATTTGTTTGGAAATGTATTTCACAAAACCCAAGAACAGACATTTAATCTGGAAAGGCAAGTTATTCAACAACACAACAGCACACAGAGCGACAGGCTGAAGGTGTCCAGTGTAAGCGTAACACATTAACAGATATTCATAAATGTAATTTGATAAATCCACACTGAGAATAGTGAGTAGGGTGAAACTTGTCGCAACGAACGAGGAAAATTGACCATGGATTATTCAAAACGAAATTATTCATTTGTCCATCTTCTCTAAAAAGATGTCCGGTATCCACATAAAGACTGGTGCCTTGAAATACATTCATCCAAAACAATGTTATTTCTAGGGATACACGATATATCAGCCTCCATATCGGTATCGGACGATATCGGTTCATTTTTAATGAAAGAAAATTTGGCCGATATATTAAAGCTGATAAATAATGTATTATTTCCTCCAGCTGAGACACTTCAGATGCGACTGTTCAACATGATGGCTTTGAAATGCTTGAAATATGATCGTAATCACTTCAAAAATGGAAAATACAGCGCAAAATCTGTCATATCGGCTACATAAAATTATGAGAACGTCATTATAATTGTGTGTTTGGGACGTGGCTTTTAATGATGAGACTTTTGTTTTTGTAATCAGGCTCTAAAAATTATAACAACTTTGGATTTAGATTTAAGAATTATCGGTATCGGCCAAAATTTGCATAATCGGTGCATCCGTAGTTTTTTCGGAAGATGCATGCGGTTTTAATCACCATTTGAGGACGAAAAGTTACATTGTGTTTTGATTGCGTGTCATTCTTTAAAACAAAAGTAGTGGCTATCACTGAAAGTGCACGTGCAAACACAAGTCAGGGATACTCCACTTTTTTTTTGGGAAATTGGCTCATTTTACAACTCCCCCAGAGTTACACAGTTGGGTCTTACCGTTTTCGAATGTATTCAGACGATTTTTTTTTATATATAGAAGAATATCAGTAACCAGACAGTTTCTGGTCTCATTGACTTCCATAGTAGGAAAAAAATATACAATGGAAGTCAATGAGACCAGAAACTGTCTGGTTACTGATATCCCTCTAAATATCAGAAAATCGACTGAATTGATTCAAAAACGGTAAAACTCGACTGTTTAACTCTGAGGGAGTGGTAAAATGAGCCTGTTTCCAAAAAAAGTGGAGTATCCCTTTAAAAGCTCACCTCTCTTCGTAGGCCATGCGCACTCCCAGCAGGAATGAAGCGGGGCAGGAGCTGCTGATGGAGTATTACAATCAGCTGTATTTCCTGGACCAGCGCTTCTTCTCACCGCACAGAAGTCTGGGGATTCACTTTCACTGGTGAGACTCACTGGCACACAAACAAATGAATGAGCAGTGGTTAGAGTAGTGGTCGAAAGTACCGACTTCAGTACCAAGTTGATACCGAAATTTTAAATGTGCCGCTTTGAGCGCTGTTAAACAGAATCATAAACGTCTCTGATTGGCTACAGTGACCAGCCCTTCAAAAACATGTTGTAAATATACATCAATGACACTCTTCAGCTTCAGATTAAGTAAGACACTTAATGTGTCTTACTTTTTTTATCGCTCGTTTGCAGTGTTGTGCAAGTTACTTCCAAACTGTAATGCATTAGGTATTACTTGTTACTGTTATTTAAAAGTAATTCATTACCTTACAATATTACTGTCTCAGAATTGTAACTTTTGAGTTACTTTCACCAAAATAACTAAGTAGAACTTAACTTTTGGGCTGTAACGATATGCAATATGAAACCGAAATCGCGATTCGCCACACGACTCAGATCCACGAACCTACAGAATCGCGACACACCTCTTCCAACTCCCAGCGTTATTCTCCTTACCGTCCAGATCCAATGCTGCCTTATCTTTAAATTAGGCTATTAGTATTATTTGAAGTTAACATTATAAAATACGTAGACCTACACCACAAAACTAGTTGAGGATAAATTATTTAAAATTGGGGAAGTCCAGCATTATGGACATGACATTTGCAGTCAAAACTTGAAATAAAAATTCTCAGAAAATACATGTATTGAAACGTATATAGGCTACTTCCTTAAAGGACACCAGACATTAGACAAATATCAGTCTATGTTTTATTTTTAATATTAGGGAAAAGACTAAAAATAGGAGGCAAAAAAATAGGAGGCAAAATATATTTTTTGTAATTCTGTTAATTACACTGCGCAAATCGGATGAGGAAGGGTTGGCTCTCCAGTCTCCATAGAACTTAAAATATTCATTTTATTTTAGCTTGCGTGTTCGCATTTATGAGGAAAAAACAATGTTACAGACGCGACCGCTCTGAACTGGCCCTAAAAGACTGCTTTAAAACTTTCACATAGTCTGTTGCCTTTAAGAAGTAAAAGCAGACAATACACTGTAATACAACTGTAATACAAGCCTCACTGAACATGTAACGAGTAAAATATTACTGAAAATTGATTAGTAATGCCTTACACTACTGCGTTACAGCAAAAAGTAATATGTTACTGTAATGTATTACTTTTGTAATGCGTTACTCCCAACACTGCTCGTTTGTTGGGTGTTTATCAGAGGTGTTTATGATTCCGCTTAACAGCGCTCAGGGCTCCAGACTAACTTTTTGCCTTGGTTGCACTGGTGCGCCTAACTTTTTTATTTAGGTGCACCAGCACAAAAATTTTTTCTCGTCTCGCGTCACCTTTAACGCCACAATTTCAAGGTCACCTTTTTATCACGCACCATATATTCATATATAATGCTTTTAAAAAAAAGAATAAGATGTAGTTTTTTTGTTGTTTTTTTTTAAGCACAATTATACTGTATATAAAAATATAAATCTTTAAAAAAAAAAAAAAAAATTTAAAGTGCTGTTTTTACATTGTTCAAGTTAGGGCAGGGTATTGACACCCATTTCCCAATTCGATTCAAAATGGATTATTTTGGATTAGGGTTGGGTATCGATTGGAATCGGGACTAACTTTTCGTTTTTCCCGGAATCGTTCAAAAGTTAAAATTTCGATTCCTAGTTTCAATATTCACAGTACGCCGAGCGGAAGAAGAAACCGCTGAACAACACCAACGAAGAAGCGTCTACCGGAAGTGTTGGCATAACCGCACGAGTCGAGCATGAGTAGCTTACGTCGGCGATCCAAAGTGTGGCTTCACTTTTCTAAAAATAACGAAATCTCGGCAAAATGCAAAATTTGTCACAAAAGGAGTATTTGTGACAGAAGGAGTATTTCCTTCAGAAAGGATTATTTCCTTCAGAAAGGCCGTTGGTTAGCAAGGTTAGCTAAACTTTTTTGACCCTGCCTCTTAAAAGAATCGGAATCGAGAATCGTTAGGAACCGGAATCGAAACAAGGAATCGGAATCGGAATCAGAATCGTTCAAATTCAAACGATACCCAACCCTATTTTGGATATCAGGTACAATACATGGCAAATTTTCTCAAGGAAAACAAATCTCAACTAATGCTGTAAACTGGGAGTCAGTTGTAGCTATAATATTGAAGGTAAAAATGACCTGATTTGTACAAAAAAAAAAAAACTCTTAAATTACACTCATTTATTTAATAATAATAATGTTATATGAAAAAGTGGCACATTTTTTAAATGTCAGTATCGCCTTGGTACCGAAGTCTGTACTATTGACAACACTAGGTTAGAGATGGTCTGATCGTGTGTCTCGTTGCAGGTATGACTCGCTCACCGGTGTGCCTTCCGTTCAGAGAGCGCTAGCGTTCGAGAAAGGGAGTGTTCTGTTCAACATCGGAGCACTTTATACTCAAATCGGAGCCAGACAAGATCGCTCCACACTGACGGGCGTACAGAACGCCATCGATGCTTTCCAGAGGGCGGCCGGTACTGAATCTTTTCTGTGGGTCATTCACAGGAAACGTGTCACAGTGTGATTGGAAATTATACACTGGTCATTTAAATAGACTCAGGAGTAAAGGAGTAGTTCACTTTTTTAAAAACTTTTGCTGATAATTTACTCACCCCCATGTCATCCAAGATGTCCACGTCTTTCTTTCTTCAGTCCAAAAGAAATTAAGGTTTTTGATGAAAACATTCCAGGATTTTCTCCATATAATGGACTTCAATGGGGTCCAAAAGACAGTTTCAGTGCAAACTGTTCAAAGGGCTTTAAACGATTCCAGACGACGAATAAGGGTCTTATCAAGCGAAACGAGCGGCCATTTAATAAATAAATAAAAAAGTTTAAGTTTTACAAGCACTAAATCTCTCCTTGATCTGTTCTGTGACGCGCGTTCGTGACTCTCCTGTTTGAACTCGTTCATCAAAATGAACGAATCTTTTTCCGAGTCATTTGGTTGATTCAACGAACGAATTGACTCGGGAAAAGAGTTTAATTGTGTCGCTTGATAAGACCCTTATTCATCGCCTGGTGTCGTTTAAAGCCCTTTGAATAGTTTGTAGTTTGCACTGAAACTGTCTTTTGGACCTTGAACCGTTTGGTCCCCATTGAAGTCCATTATATGGAGAAAAATCCTGGAATGTTTTCATCAAAAACCTTAATTTCTTTTCGACTGAAGAAAGAAAGACACGGACATCTTGGATGACATGGGGGTGAGTAAATTATCAATTAGTTTTTCAAAATAGTTTTTTCAAAAGTGAACTACTCCTTTAAAAGCTTGATTTGACACAAGGGGACAGATCATTTAAAAAATATTAAAAGCATAAAATTTGACACTGACAAACATGAAAAAAATGTCCATTGACTAGCAAATATCATCACACCTCCACATAACAGTTGAATCTATCAAATAATGCGAGTTGCCGTCAGTCAATTATATCATTAGTTGGACAAATTATCACTATATTTATATATATATATATATGTGTGTGTGTGTGTGTGTTAAACTATCTGTGTTCAATTTCAAAAAACACTTATAATCTAAACTCATAATCTTCATGTGCATTGCATTACTTTTTGCTGAACTGAAGATCTGAAGCTCTTTGCTTATATAAATGAGCTTGTAAATGTGTGTGTGTGTGTGTGTGTAGGTGCGTTTCTCTACCTGCAGGAGAACTTCTCTCATGCGCCCAGTCTGGATATGAGCGGCCCTGCTCTGAGCATGCTGGTCCGCCTCATGGTAGCGCAGGTAAATGTGTGTTTTGTATCTCTAGGTTCAGTCTTGAGTGACAGTGTGAACGCCAATCAGATCAGGACTAAACGCATCATTTCCTGTGAGCCAAGAGATCCGAGCTACAAGTGTGAACGCAGCCTGAATGATTTCAGATGATGTATGTTATGGTCAGATGTGTTTGAGGAGGTGTTCATGTGTATTTCTGGGTTTATTATTCGCAGGTTCAGGAGTGTGTGTGTGAAAAGGTCATTCTCACGCAGGACAACAACCTGAATGTGCTTCTGCAAGCCGCCCAGGAGGCAGCGAGGGTGAACGAACACACACACACACACACACTGAGACTCAGTCTCTCTCACACTCACAGTCTCTCTCTCTCTCTCTCACACACACTCTCACTGAGACTCACTCTCTCTCTCAACGTCACACAACGTTCTGCATATTTACATAAAAAAAAAACAATTTACTTTGATTTATAAGCTGTTTTCCTCATGGGGACCAAAAATGTCCCAAAAGATCAGGAATGACTCGTATTACTATTTTGTGGGGTTTGATAAGCGTGTGTGTTTGCAGGTGTCAGACGTGTATTCTCTGGTTCTTCAGGCCATGTCAGTGCCGTTACTGAAGGACTATGTGCCCTTCTCCTGGATCTCCATGGTTCAGGTCAAAACGCATCATTTCAGAGCGCTGGCGCATTATTACACCGCCGTGGCGCTGTGCGACGGCTCAGGTGCTTCTCACTGTCCTGAGACCATGTGACATTTACTGATGACATCATGCATGCATTACCAATCAAACGTTTGGAGTGATGTTTTTGAAAGAAGTCTCTTCTGCATATAATGTCCTGTAGCCCTCAAACCGTATTCACTTTATAGCCCGTTATAGACAAATGTGGGCACAGAGGACTGATCCTAATATTTATTTATTATAAATGTTATATCATTGTCTTCGATAAAGTTTTGTCTATCCATTTATGGTGTTTTTTCATTTTTGGGGGGTATTTTTGAATTTATTTACTTAAAAAAGTACCCTATTTTCTATGTAAAATATGGTTATTTTTATGTTTTATTTTTTTTTAATTTATTTAACAACATTAAAATATCATTCCAATAAGTTCTTGGAGCTAAAACCTAAAGATGAAGTGACTTTGCTGTCACCTGGTGTCT